GTATTGCACTGCAATCCAATCTAATTTTTTTCTTCGTCTTCCGTGCTTGAGATGCCACGTTTGCGGCTTTGCATACGTGATTGAATAGGGTCCTATGTGATCAATAGAGCTCATTAAATGTCCCCGTGGGTGATTGTCTCACCCTGAGGTTCTCTTAGATTGCCTGTACCTGCAGCCCCGCTCTGCTTTATCTGCTTCAAGTTTGTTTCAACGTTGTTTATGGCGTAATTAATTTTATAATTGAATTGCTCAAGCCTGTCCTTTTTTTCCCCCCTTAATGTGGACCGGAGTGTCCGTTTGGCTCCCTTCGGCAGGGGGGCTGTGGGTGTTTTGGTGTTTGGTGGAGCTGTGTGTGTGCGGGATGGGCGGGTGTTAGATGGACTTCCAAAAGGAGGCTGAAGGAAACAGTGGCTGCACCTGTTGTTCCCTGCGGTTGCTGTGTGGTGGGGTTAGCACCTGCTCACACGGCTGCTGTGTGGCTGTCTATGTGGGCAGCAGGGATAACAGGGAAACCATTCACACCCGCTCAGACCGCTGTCTGCAGCCCCTCTCCCTCTGCACTCGCTGCTCTCGGCTCCATCATTTCTTTTTCTGTCTTTTACATTCTCTGCCGATCCCCCCTCCACCCTATAGCCTATATGCCAGCTTGCTATCTGCCAGACTTTATCCTTTGTATCCCCAATCTGTCTGTCTGTGTTTCTGTCTCTCCATCCCCTCTCCTCCTCCTCCTCCTCCTCCTCCAACCCCTTGCGCCTTTTATTTTTTTTTGTCTCCAGCCATCCCCTTTTTGCCTTTCAACTCACATAGAAACACAAACATAAAGCACAGCAGCTGGGAGCTGTTATAGTCCTTCTGTGGAACTTGATAGCATTTAGTATGAAGGATGAAGTTGTAAACAGTAAATTACATATAACTACTAAATCACTTCGAAGGGGAGCTGGGACATCAGCCTTTAACTTAGGCCATAGAGGCTGTGAGTGTGCAGGGAGGTTATGGGCAATTTCTGTGGCAAGTTATTGTAACTGTACACATTTTGGACAAAGGACACTATTCACTGGAGTATCGTTCAGTGTTTGGATCTGCACTGACATCAGTTATATGCAGCAAAACACTAAGAGATGGGTGTCAACAACTATTCCTTTATCTTTAACTTTTTCAAAAAAATATCTCAGTCTGTGCATTTACGGTGCCCGCCTTGTGAGTGATGAATGACATAATCAATTGACTTTATGGTTTTTGAATCATCACATGTGACCTTTGCTCTTGTTAACTCAAAACCTCAAGCAAACACTTCATACAATTCCATGAATCTACACAGGGGAAACATAAAATCCATCATTGGTTGGTAATGCCCCTCATTTGGCTCACGATCCAAATAAGCATTTTAATCAGGCTTTGTACTAGTCCTTGCAATGCAGTGCTCAGTTTTTTTGGGGTTTTTTTTTCTTCATATTTTTTGCTGAGGCATCACTGGAATAGCATTGCAACACCCTATGCAACACGTGAAAGAACAATGATATGCAACAAACACATGCACATGATATGCAAATAACACATCAAACTTGCAGCAGACACAAAGAGCAGCCCACAGAGGTCCAGACGGTGCCAAACACACACATCCATGGCTGAACCCGGAGGACTAATAATGCAGCATCGGTGGCACTAATAAAATTGCGCACCATATACCTGTCCAGCCCACCCATCCGTCCATTCACCCCCCCTGCTCGGTCTCCCTTTGACACATATCCATCTCTCGGTCCCATCATTTTTTAATTTTTTATTTTTTGGCACACTCACCGCACCAGATGGCCAGGTATGGGAGGCTGAGGCAGGTGCCAGTCGCCAACTCGCCCTCTGCGGTCGCTCTTCTGCCTCTTCTGTGTGAAGGAAAAAAAAAGCGGGGTGATGGATACCACCGCTCTCGGTATCCAAAGCTTCCGTGGAAATAAACGCTCCTCCTCAGCCGCACCTCACCTGTCTCTTCCCTCTACGGTTCCTGCGCGTCGCCGTAGCATCACCGTTTATCGAGCGCGTCCAAAACGCCCAGTCAACTACCAAACGCTTTTTTTTCTCTCCCTCTTCCCCCCCTTCAGGAGCGAGAAAGAGAGAAACAGTCTAAATGTGAGGTTGTTCTGTGATCCAGAATGCGTCTTCTCTCCCGGTAGCCTTGCATTAAAAAAAAAAAAAAAAAGAAAAGAAAGAAAGAAAAAAAATCCCAAATCGTGCAATTGCGCGCAGTATTAAGTCTTCTTCTGTCAGGGACACCGGGCAGTTGTCTTGTACTTGGTCAGGCTACGGCTTTGAAATCAGTAGTCAGCAAAATGTAATCCCCCCTTCTTTTTTTTTCTTAGATTTACAGTGGCGAGGTGAAATGTCCAACGCAGAGCAGGCACAGTGACAACAGGGGCCCATAATTCACACCCCCTGAAACACAGTCCTGCAGTGGATCAATGATGAATGGAGAACCTCTCTCTCTCTCTCTCTCTCTCTCTCTCTCTCTCTCTCTCTCTCTATCACACACACACACACACACCACACACACACTGTGTCAAGCCATTACTGAAAAAGCCCTACGTAAGATCCTAAACATGAGGCTGCATTGGGAAATAATACATTTATATGCAACATTCTGCAAAATAAATAACAGGCTTTGGCACAGCTGACAGAATACTTTATTATATTGAACAAGAATGCAAAATGAGGTCTAAAGCTGGAGAAGCACCCAAGCTTTCACTTAGGAAAATGATCAAATATTGACCAGAAAGAGGTTCCAAACTGGATTATGACTGAAAATATTGTGCCACCAGGGCAATTTAAAAAAAAGATCCTCATGTATGTTGTGTAAAAATATACAGAAACAGGTGCACATCTGTCATTTATTGTATGACTATTTTTGACCTTTGGTGACAAGTAACATGAATCATTCAAGTACGACTGGTGTTTTTATTTTAGTATTTTATTTTTACTGACTATATTTCAGGAAGAAATATTGCACTTTTACACCACAAGATTTATTTCACAATTATAGTCAAATAGATGGATAGTGTTTTTTCCCACAGCCTGTACGTAATTCCATACAGATGGACACAATGCATGAAATTTCCACTTGGTCACACATACATTAATCCCTCCCGCCTGTATTCCGATCCATGCTTATATAAATGTATGCACTCACACAGATGTGTCTGGATCAATGCAAACGGAGTTGATATGACAGTTTGTTCAGGCCTGCTGTTGTAGAAAAAAGACAAAACTCTTGCAAACCCATCCATTTTTTAAAGTCCTGCATCTACCAGACAGCAGTGATACGAGGAGTGGGTGATCAGTATGACTACAAAGCAGGCAGCGGATCTATCTTTCATGTCTGAGAGCTCAGGGTCAGAGAAGCAGGTGAGTTTGGAGGTGGTAAAAACAAAGCTGACATTTTGCATTCAAATTATAGGCAGCTTCTAAAATGTGATGCATTATCATAAACTAGTGACGCACACTGCAACCAGAGGAATCTAAAATGGAATTTAACCAAGTCAACGTGTCTTTTGTAGGTTACTGAATGTGAACACATGAAGTTTGCTCATTTCTAGTTAAACTAACTTACAGTGTGTCATTTTAATTTCACATCACCATTGAGCTTAGAATCAAGAGTTTTTATAACGTGAGATACTTTGACCTAAAATGACAAGTTGAATGAATGAATGAACAGCTGAAGTTCACTCAACTCATTAAATTAAGTTTATTAGACACAAAACTAGGATATAAGCAGAGGATGCAATGTTAGAGAGTTCAAACTCCTTAGAAAGGTTCTTCTTTTTGTAGTTTAAGAAAACAAATTTAGTGAAAACTTGCAGTGTGTGTTTTGTTAAAATAAGTTTAGGTTGTTTCTAACCATAATATTCAAAACAATTCAAACAATGCCAGAGGTTAGTAATCAATTAGTCAATCCACTGGTAGAAAGAAAAGCAGAGGCTGTAAATATTTAACCCTATTCAGGACTTTTGGGGTCTTTTGGACTCCAGGCCATTTGGTTTAGGTGACAGGTATTGTTTTTTATTTCTGAAGATTTTTCTTTAAAATATAAAAAGAGGGATGCTTGAGAAATATCCATCCATCCATAGAAATGGATGGATATTTCTCATGCATTTGGAACCAAAAAATACATCAACTTATCAGAAAAAAAAATTATCTAACATAGTATAAAAGTCTATAATGAATACCAACAAATATTTTGCACATATTCTTTCTTGGGGTCCAGCGGTACCTGAAAGACCTTCTACGTATGGCAACATGAAAGTCCTGAATAGGATTAATGTTAGATGAAGAAAAAAATGTTGATACTGAGAAAATGTGCCAGGAAGGCAGTTATGTCTGCAACCATTGTCTGTGTGACTAGTTGTCAAAAATGGTGTTTAAATAGTATTCATGAAGTCATGGCCCTTTACTAAAGCAACACCAAAAAAAAAACTCACTTTTCTGCATAATAATGCTTATGCACTTTTAATTAGGTGAGATTGTGAAGTCAGGGCATTTATTTATAATTGAATAATTATACATTGTGGTATTGCTACTGTTACTTTGGTAAAGGATCTGACTTCTTGTCCTGTCTCTGCTACTGGCTGGTTAAAAACAACAACAACAAAAACATCCCTTTTTTGGTTTTGCTTTAAAAAAAAAAAAAAAAAGCATTTAGGAACAGTGTGTTATTACATTTTAATTATGTTTTTATAATAGAATCGAATAAGAGAATTTATAAAGACCAGCCATTAGACAAGCCTCTTATTCACTTGAACGACCCATTGTTAAAGAGAGAAAATATTTTTTTTATTTTTTTTTATTTTTAAAAATGCGCACATAATTCGGTGTAGTTTTTATTATTAAAAAAGCGACGTAAATGTGATAATTTTATTACATTTCAGGTCACATTGGAATAAAGTTTTGAAGAGGGATTACGCTCTTGCGTCACTGCCGGCTGTAGTCGGACAGTAGTAAAAAAAAAAAAAAAAAAATCTGGTAGCCATGAATTCCAGCTAGCTAGCCACCGACAACTGTCAGCACACTTGAGTAAAACCATCCATGTCAAGACACAAGGAGGATTTTCAAAGTCTTGTGCTGCTTCTGTGTACATATAGGGGCACACCAGCCTGCCTACCGCCCTACTGTGAATCGGTAAGTAGCTCGCTTTCAGGCTACCGTGCTAGCGAGCTAGCCGCCGCCGCTAGCTGGTCGCCTTGCTAACGATAAGTGATGATAATTTGACTGCTTGCTGCCATTAACCTGTACAACGGCAGATGTCCGGTCACAGCAGTAACACGCCGTTTATCTCGCTCTCCGGTTGCAGGTATGCTATGACAGCACACTGCTTTAGTTATATGGCCAACATCACCGGCTAACGCTAGAGGTTAATATCGTTGTTAACCATGTAGCTACCATTAGCATATCAGTCGCTCTGTGTCTCTGTTGAGGGGGTGTTTTATTTTGTCACCTTTGTCCCCGGCATTTAAGTCGTCTTGATTCCGTAGTGAGCATTTAGCAGCCGTAGTTCATAAATATCGTTATATGCTTATAATATGTGTTTTAATACACTTTACAAGACCTGTATAATGATGACAATAACAACCGACGTTTTAAGCCTTATGATGAATCCGCGTTATCTCATTAGTTTGCATTGATGTTATCTTTTCCTCGTAGCTGTGATGCCAGGACACTTCATTTCTTTGCTCAGTGTCTGTGGTATTTTAATTCACTCCAAATGTTGTATTCTACGAAGCAGCAGTGATGACTTGGGTGCAGTAAAGCTTTAGAAAAATCCACTTTGACGTCTTAGTTGGTAATGCTTTGTGAGTATATATAGTCATGTATAGTAAACAACAAACGACATTAATGTGTTTTCATTTCTGTTTATCCAGATCCAGCTGGCTCAGTGACTAGACCAGAAGACCTTGGCACCGTTGTGTGCCAGCTAATTTCAAGACCTAAGGATTTCTGAATCCAGGTATGTTTATAGCAGGATATTTCTGCAGAGTTGTCTCCAGATCTTTGGTTAGAAGAGGTGTTAAGCCCATTTGTCTGTCCTGATCCTAACTTTGAAGTCAGCTGTTTTTCTCACGATGATATGTAATATTGTGAATAATTTCTTTGAGGTAAACATCAGTTTGTCTGATCGAGTGAACCTCAAGTCTTGCTGCAACGCATCTTGTTATCAGTGTAGCTACGAGATGACAGTTTAAACATTTTTGCTATTGATCAAATATTTCGTCTTTGCTATGTGGTATAAACTATATTTTACTAACCTGTAATAGTAAAATCATAAGTAGTAATAATGAAACACTGTGGGAAGTCTTTGTTAATTAGAGATGAACAGCTTTGCTACTTGCATGCTGTTTTCGTTCTGTTTTCCTCCCCCACTAATTACTCCGTCTCCTGTGTTTATGTTTTTACCAGAAGATGAACGGTCTGTCCATACGGGAGCTATGCTGCCTGTTCTGCTGCCCCCCTTGCCCCAGCCGCATTGCAGCCAAACTGGCTTTCCTCCCTCCGGAGCCCACCTATGCTCTTCTCCCTGACCCAGATCCAGGTTCTGGAGCTGGCCCTGCATCGGGGTCCAACTCTGGGGCTGCTCTGCCCTCTCTTGGAGCCCCAGGACTGCGTTCCCGGCTGGGCACTGGTACTGGAAGTGACAGAGGAGGTGGAGGTGGTGCCGGTGCTGGTGGAGGAGGAGGAGGAGGAGGTGGTGGTGGAGGTGGGGGCGGCGGCGGCGGTGGCAGTAGTGGTGGCGGCAGCGCTGGGAGTGAGGGCAGGTGGAAGCTGCATCTCACAGAGAGAGCAGAGTTCCAGTATTCGCAGAGAGAGCTGGATGTGACGGACGTATTCCTGACCAGGTCTAGCCGAGGGAACAGGGTTGGATGTATGTACATTCGCTGTGCCCCCAATGCCAGGTGAGACACACACACAGACCAACCTTCTGAACACCTTGAGAAAGTACATGCTTGAATACACAGAAAATAGTCTGTGTTTAGAAATACATTGTTCCCAGACACACACTCTTATCATATGTTTTTCCACCAACTCTGTACTTCTCAACCTGCTGCCTAACTTCCTTTTTCTTTCTTCCCTCTTTTGTCTCTCAGGTTTACAGTGTTGTTTTCCCACGGTAATGCAGTAGACCTGGGGCAGATGAGCAGCTTCTACATCGGCTTAGGCACACGCATCAACTGCAACATCTTCTCCTACGATTACTCAGGCTACGGTGTTAGCACTGGAAAGCCTTCTGAGAAGAACCTTTATGCTGACATTGATGCTGCCTGGCACGCCCTGCGCTCTCGGTAAGCAGACAGAAACTTTTACTTTACTCCACGTAGGTCTGAAATGAACAGCCAGCTAGGATTGAATGCCCATTAAAGTGTTGTTGCTAGATAAATTGTTAACAGTCACTGTCATCGCTGGCCAGCAACTTTTTGTGAAAATAACATTTGGTTGGCTCGGTTTTATCCAAAGTTTTATTCCCTGCTGACACAAGACCTTCTCTCTGACCACCAGCCAGTCCAATCACAACTAAACACTGGCTCATTATCAAACAGCCTGATGACTGGCTGTTACGTACTGTGCTCTGTGTGAATTGGTGCATCTATAATTCCACTACTTTACTGTTTCTCTTATATATCCTGCATGGTTAATGGGCCTAATGTTAGTCGAAAATTAGCATATCCAGGTGGCAACACAGAGGACGCTGAACTATTCAAGGCATTCAGGTTTCTTTCAACCTGGTGTGTTTCTCATTAATGTGGCTATTGTGGCCCTGTGGAGCATGTTAAGCTTTTACGTCTACCACCTTCATTGTAGGTATTCAAGGAAATGAGGATTCGCATAATATACCATATATCGCAGCATGGAGTGCAAGCTCCCTGCAGCTTTTCAAAAACATGATTTTATTTTTTCCATGAATCATTTTGTATTCATCAGTGTTTTGTTTCAAGTCCAACCCAAAGTAAACACTTTTTCTTACTGCATTAGATATCTCCATCTGGGTTGACTTACTGATCGATTTAAACACTAATATAACTGAAGCTAAACAACGTACAAGAGTGTTACCTGTGATAGAGTGTTTGGTCTTCTAACTCGAGGAATGGCAGTATGTTTGAGGAAGAAGTGTTTCGGTAGTTTTGATCATACAGGATCTATGCAGTTCTCCCTTTGGAAATGCTCACTATATACACCACAGTCTGCCAGGCGGCGTTACTTGATACTCGTGCCAGTGTCAGTTTGCAAAGAAACTTGCTACAGCTGGAGTCTCTCTTTATTGTTCAGTTGTAGTCAACGAAATCTGAACAGCGTGTGTCTTGTTATCGTTTCTGTGTAATCCGAAAACTTGCGGACTCAAGCAATTTTATCTTGTTTGCTGCTATTTGTCTGAAGTGAGAACATGTAGCAAAGTTGTGTGTGCAGATGAATATGCGGGGTGACTAGATCAGTGGACACATTACCTAGATGGGGATTCTGATGCATTTCACATTAAGAATGCCGACACCACTCCAGGTAGCAGATTTTTGAACAAAACAATATTGTTCATGTAAAAATCACATTGTTTAGAAAGCTGCAGGGAGCTTGTACTAGTCGTCACAACATTTACTCTGGAATAAAAATGAGAAGTGCAAAATTAGCATGGCCCATTGAACAACAATAGCCACATTTGTAAGAAATATGCCAGGTTAAAATAAACAGGAGTTATCCTTTAAGACTTGTTGTTTTTGGCTCTGCAGTCTGAGAGAAGTAAGTCATCAAGCTCTTTGCCTATGACCTTCTCTGTCGAACTTTGTCTTTTATTAACAGAAAACACAGAGCGAGTTGTTGTCACATCTGAGTGACCGGTTTACTGAACCATGGTGATCTGCGTATGAAAATTTGCACACTTGTAGGCACTGCTAGATATATTTGCATCCGTAATGGTGTCCTGTTCTGGCATTTCATACTGAAATCCAATTGTTTGTCTTTCAGGTATGGCATCAGCCCCGAGAATATTATCCTGTACGGACAGAGCATCGGCACGGTGCCCACAGTAGACTTGGCATCACGGTTTGAGTGTGCTGCTGTGGTCCTCCACTCTCCTCTCACCTCAGGCATGAGAGTGGCCTTCCCCGACACCAAGAAAACATACTGCTTTGATGCCTTTCCAAAGTAAGTTCACTTCCTGAGACAGGAAATTGAATCATTTGCAAAGAAATCAAATAATACAGTAGATGATGGTGGAGAAGACAAATATGACAATGTCTGTTGAAACCTCTTAAATTCTCGTCTTTTAGCCAGTATATTGGTAAAAGAACAGCTTCTATCTCAATTTGGATGCTGTCAGAATTTGGATATTTCCATCACAGTTGTTGATGGTGCATTATAGTGTGACATGGCAGTAGTGTGAAACGTCATCCACCTCTTGTTTCTGTTGAGGTAAATGCATATGTATTGTTATAGGGCGGGTCAATATGACAAAAATAACGTATAGAGGTAACAATGGCTCTGCTTCTGCTTCATAATTTTAACTATATTTTAACTATACGAGTGACTGCATCTGTTGTTTTCAGAGAAGCAACCTAAACCTTTACAAACACTTCGCTCAAACAGTGGTATTCAAGAGACAGAGGCCCTTTTCACATGTGACATAACACGCCACTTAGGTAATCTGATCACAGCTCTAAGTACAGGTGTGAATGTACCTAAGACGCATTGGGCTCTGAACACTCAGACCATGCTTGGAGTGGATCTTGGCAGCATATGTGTTCTGGACTACAGCGAAGGACCGCCTACTCACCTGGTGTGATTTGCATCAGCATAAGTAAAAACTCATCCATATGCCGACAGTATCTTATTAATGTGAGACTACTGGCAAAATGGTGATTATTTGTTGTTCTTCTAATTTCTGGTAGGCATCGGCACACCACGTGCATTGCTGCCTCCCTCCGGTTGAAAACAACAATACATTTGATCTTTGTAAATGTGAGTTATGTATGTATTTGCAGTGCCTATAAGGAGTATTCACCCACGCTTAGAAATGTCTCCTTTTATTGCTTTTTGACATTGAATCATGGTCACTTTATTTTGGCTTTTTTTAACAAGCATTTACAAAAGGAGACTCCTTCATTTCAAAGTGAAAGTCAAATGTCAAAAAATGGAAATTAAGTGACTGAATAAGTTTTAAACCCCTTAGAAGTGGCTCACCTGAGTCAACAGAGGTGCAGGCAGTTGGTGCTAGAAGTCGCACAATTAGTGAAATGGTGATCATCTGAGTGCAGTGAATGTGTCTCAGGTGTATAAAGACACCTGTATCAAGAAAGCACAGTCACTGGGACTAAGGGCTGTAACTACACCATGAAGACATAAGCGCTCTCCAAGCAATTCTGTCAAAAGGTTATTGAAAACCATAAGTCAGGGGATGGATATAAGAAAATTTCTAAGGCAGTGAATGTCCCTTGGAGTACAGTTAAATCCACCATTAAGAAATGGAAGAAATATGGCACATGTGAAAATCTGCCTAGAGCAGGCAATCCTCAAAAACTGAGGGACTGTGCAAGAAAGAGACGAGTGAGGCAGGCAACAGACACCTATGACTCCTCTGAAGGCGTTTATAAGCTTCAGCGTCTGAGATGAGAGAATACAACTGTTGCCTGCTCTTCACCAGTCAAAGCGTTATGGCAGAGTGGCAAAGAGAAAGCCACTGATGAAATAAGCTAATTTTGACATTCGACTATTGTTCACCAAAAAGCATGTCTAATTAGACCAAAATTGAGCGCTTTAGCCATCTGACTAGACACTATGTTTGGTGGATAACAACAACACCACCTCCCACCATCCAGCATGGTGGTGGCAGCATCATAATAAGGGGATGCTTCTTGGCAGCAGGCCCTGGAAGGCTTGTAAAGGAATGAATGCAGCAAAGTACTGGGAAATGCTGGAGGCAGCCTGATACAGTCTGCAAGAGAGCTGGGACTTGGGAGAAGATCTGTTTTCAAACAAGATAATGACCTGAAGCGTACAAGCAAAGCTCCAGAGAAGTGGTTTAAAGATAACAAGGTGGATGTTCTGGAGTGGCCAAGTCAGAGCCCAGACCTCAGTCCAATTGAGAATTTGTGCTCGGACATGATCCTCGTGCAACCTGACAGAGCTTGAGCAAAGAAGAATGGCATAAAACTGCAGTGTCTAGATCTGCAAGGCTGATTGAGAGATATCCACACAGGCTCAATGCTGTAATTGCGGCCAAAGGTGCATGAAGGTGGCAAATATTTATACAGTCACTCCTTCAATTGACATTACTTTGTAGAAATCTGTTTTCACTCTTTTTGTTCTTGTCAGAAAAAAAACTTGTTAAATTGACCATGATGAAATGTTGAAGAAGTTATAAAAGGAGAAATCTTCCACGGGGGATGAATACTTAATATATGCGCTGTATTTGCATAAAACTGGAAAGTGAGAGCTGATCATAGGTGGTCACTCGAGACGTATGTGGAGACGCATTCTAACTCCAGTTCTAATCCTACGAGCACCCAAAACGCATGTCAATGTGAGGTGTGCACGGAGCTCAAAACGCTGATTCCAGGAGTAAAATCACTAAATGTACCTCAACACATGGTGACTGAAATGCTAATTATTTACTATTTTTGGTCATCATGAACTGATAAATCAATCCTGTTTTCTTCCAGCATCGAGAAGGTGTCAAAGATTCCATCTCCAGTGCTCATCATTCATGGTACAGAGGACGAAGTGATCGACTTCTCTCATGGCCTCGCCCTATTCGAGCGCTGTCCCAAGGCCGTGGAGCCCCTCTGGGTGGAGGGAGCCGGTCACAACGACATTGAGCTTTACAGTCAGTACCTGGAGAGGCTACGGCGCTTTATCAACCAGGACCTGGCTGCACAGCATGCCTGAGAAATGAAACAACAGCCTCTCTGTGTTAGTATGAATGAGACTGTGCGTGTGTGTGTGTGTGTGTGTGTGTGTGCGTGCATGCACGTGTGTGAAAAAGAGGACGTTGGCATGTTTGCAAAGTGTGGATGAGAAATAGACCTAAAAAGGATGTGTGATTTTTTTTGTCACATCTGTGTGTCTTTGAAGCAGCACACCTTCAGGTTAAACACAAACACAACTTATGTTCTGTTTCCTGTTTTGAAGGTGAGAACATTTTTTAATATGTCATTAGCTGTGTCCATCTGTACGAGGCTGGCGAAACACTAAAAACGAGAAGAGAGATGAGACAACTTTACGAATGCAGTTATAGAAGCGGGAAAAGTTCTGAATTGCAGCTTTAAAATGTGCTCACTCGATGGAATTAAGAAGAAGAAGTAACAACAATGTGCTTTGTCCAAAAAGGCACACAGATGTAATTTTTGAAGTGTGACGTGTCGGTGAATGTGCGTATGATGTGAGTGTTGCGTGTATATTCATATCTCCATGGACCTGTGACACCTGAACAATTGCGTGCACATGTTGGCGTGTGTGTGATTGCTGATAGAAATGAAGGACATCCTGATGACTTGGACAGCTGCAAGTGGAGGAGGCTTATGGAGACTTATCAATATTGGTGTTTTTGTTTTTCTTTTGTTTTTTTTTTTTTGCGTGTGTATGTATGAAGAATACCTCCACAGCTTGACCAGTTCTCTCTCCAGTGGACTAACATTGGTCAAGCATGTGCCCCGCCCCCTCCTCCTCCTCCTCCTCCACTCCTTGTTTACCTGTTAATGGACATCCATCTGACTGCCAGGGCATTTCCCAAGTTGTCCAGCTAACACTAACCTGCTCTTTATGTGTGGTTTGGGGGTCCATCTCCTGTCCTTTGGTGTCAGTTACGGTGGAAATGCGAGGACTAGTCTGGAATACTGTCATAGCTTGTATGGCTGTTGGGTGTCTCATACTTTCCCTAATTTTTGACTCTGAAGAGATCACAGAATGGCCAGCTTCCATGTTATTTCCTGGCTGTAGCCCTTCACTCTCCACAGAATTGCGGGCAACAGCTTACAGGGAATAATTGTGATTTCCCCGTGTTTCTTTTTCCCACCCACATTTTTTCCGGAACAAGAGTGATGGCGTGGTCGAAATGGAAACAGGTCTTTTGGAGGCACGCTGAGAATATCTGTTTTTTTTGGACATTAATCAAACAGCTACCAAAGTGCAGGTCTACTCAGTGATTTTCACATCTCATTAGATTGGTCGGCTGGAAACAGAAAGCTGTTGCCCTTCAGTATACTAATGGGTGACGTTTAAAGTTTAGACAGAGTGCGCTGGCTCGGTAACAGCAGCAATAAGTCAGATTTAGGGAAAAGTTTGACTTTTTCGAAAAATGTGCTTTGCTGCTGAGTGTTTGATGAGGAGATTTGGACCTCTCATGCAGACACTCCAGGAAGTGACTGCACCCAGACAAGAAACAGTCCAGCACATAACACCCCATAAAACCCTAACGTGTCGGATACAAAGCGTTCTAGCTTTCACAGAGGTAGAAGGTGGGTTTTGTCAGCTTTGGAAAGTGCCACACTCGCCTTCCCCCCCACACACATTTCCAGTCTTGGTGCTCAGCTGGAAGTCGCTAGTCGTTGCTTCATATTATGACGGCGGTGTCAGTCTCCTCATCTAACCCCCAGCAAGAAAGCAAATAAGCACATTTCCCAAATGTCAAACTAAACATTTGAGTCTGAATTGCAGCTGTCGAGGTGGTTGTGTATAATTTGATGGTGAACGGAGCCTCTTGGAGCTTTGATGCTCTGGTTGGCTCTAGTAGAACAAAACGACAAAATAGCTGCTCAGTTCACGAAACTAACGAGGATTATGTCCGTTTCATTCAGATGAACCATCAGCATCATGGTGATTAGCCTCTAGTCTTACAGCACTATTTGTTTTCAGAGTCTTGTTCCAGTAGCACTCATCACCAGAGTTAGTCAGCCTCCTGTTCATATTCACCCTCAGCACATTACTTTCTAGCGTTTCTGTCTTGATGTAATTAATCCAAACGTGTTTTGTCGTAGTGTGGGGCCATGGATCGTTTGTTTCAGAACCATGCGTGTGTCGATGTCATGACTAACAATGTGATCGAGATCAGGTGCCAGGATGGGACATCATGCCTACTAGCTCTGTTTTAACCTCTGTGGCCCTAAATGTACAGGAGCTCTCTTATGGGTGGCAGCACGCTTCATGTCTGACACAAGCCATATTTGAGCCTCTCACTGTTGGTGTGGTGCAGGTTCCACCACACACACACCTTTGCACATCATCACACGAACACACACACTCACACACACACACACATCCAGACACAACACACACATGCACACACATACTGTAGTATACAGTACACATTTATATATATCAGATCAAGCATGACAAAAGCAGGTCTTAAGTTCAGCACTATTGTACAAAGCATCCAAAGTGTAATAAGGGTATAAAATGTAAGTCTCTGTGTCTTCTTCATTATTATTGACTGTGTTATACAGGCCAGCATCAAGGATACAAGTGTCCTGTTTGGAGGATAAGCCCTGTGTGTAGACCTGAAAAAGTACGAGAAGGAGCCTGCTGCTCAGGAGACCCGTCAGTTTCAGTGGTAGTAGCTGTGTTTTGTTAAAGGGAACATTTACTGAACTAGCGCTGATCTGATTACTCCATTTTGGGAGTGCACGTGGGTCTCAGTAAGTAGCGGAAAAGGTTACCGAACACCACTCACTTCCTGTCATCATTTTGAACAGGGAAGATTCCCGTTCTCATCCTGTGCTTCGTGTCTCCGATATTTGAATAATGGAAATCTGTTACCTTCTTGAACCAGGGATCTGAGCTGTCAGAAGAAGTGGAGCGAGTTCTCGCCTCTCTCCGGAAGTAAACCTCAGTTTTCTCTTGGACAGGTTGAGTTTTCAGGGAAACCTCTGGATCCATATTTCAGTCATGGGGTAAAAGGAACAGGGTAGAAACTTGCCGTTTTATTGATGCACCACTATGGTTGACGTATATTGTATCCTCTGGCCTTGAATGTTTATTGATGGGGGGTGGGGTGGGGGGGTGAACAGTGAAAACTGTATGCATGTCTGTTGTGTTTTGCAGAGCAAATGACGGGACGGGACATTATCTATTGTGTAGTCTATGTGAGGGTAAAGCTGAACTCATGGCATTGGAACATTGAAGCGCTTTTTAAAAAAACAAAAAAACGGGACATTTATTTGACTTTTTTTATTGCTGATACTAACTGATGTATTGTTGAGTTTTGTGCTAGAGTTTGAGTGGGGCAGTGGTGGGAGGGTGGGGGGGGGACTAGACAATATTAGTGGACTGTTTATATGGTTACTGTACTTACCTATTCTATTCTTTGTATTATGATTTGTAATTTTATGTTGTTTTGAACTGAGAATATGATGTAATGAAATTAATTCATGGGACTGAATCTTGACCTTTTTATGGACAACAAAATAATAAAAGATCACTTATGTACAAAAACATGAAAAACAAAGGATTGATTTCAAACAACATTTTTGTGCCGTGTATAAGTTAAAGATGGTAAAAGATCTAAGAGACAGTGATGGACAGTGATGCAAAAAAAACCCAACTAGATCATTTTAAATCTTCTCAAATTGGAGGGGATGAATGCTTTCTGGATTTGTTTGACCTTGAAAACCTGGAGTAAGTTGAGAATTTGAAAACAACTTGCTCCATACTTGTAAAAGTCAGCTTCCAAAATAGTTCCATGTATTTCTATGAATTCAAGTTTGAATCCTGACCCGTGTGTTATTAAAAATTGCACACAGTTTGATCGGACATGTAATAATTTGTGCATTTTATATAAAGTATTAGGATTGTTATGTATACACAATTATCCCGGCCAAAAGAAGTCACGACAAGATTCTTTCAATGTTTAAGAAATTTCAAAAAGAGAAATCATACATCAGTCAGACTCATTGTTAACTTGTATATTTCTCTCATCTCTTTTGGGAACTAAAAAAACACTTAAAATACAAGTGTATGGAAGTAAAGGGAGAGTGTTCCTGTATTATACGTTGTTTTTGTGTTGTAGTGTCAACGATATATTGACTGGTGCTGAATTATTTTCAATATTATCATATCATTTTTATAATATCACTTATGTTAGATCATGAAAATTAATTTAAAGTCATGAAAAATGTTGCCAAAAACATGCATTACCCTGGACATTATGAGTTATTAAAATATTTATTGTTAGGGCAAAAGGTCAGCAGTAACAGTTTCATAACATTTATATTTTAAAACAATTTCAGTGGCTGAATTTAATTTACATATCCAGTTAAGTGCAGTTGAACCAAACCCTGCCTTGAGTTTAATAGGAGTGACTGCCCTCTGCTGGCTGATTACTGTCACTAACAGTCTTTTTTTTTCTTTTTCTAAAGCATGCACCCACATTCCAGCAGTTACCTGATACAACATGAACCCTTAAATTCAATATATAAAAATAATTTAAAACCAAAGACAAAGTGCTTCTTTCGTAATCTCGTTAAGATCGACTCCAGCATGTCCTCGCTGTTGCAGACTGTGTTGATCCAAGAAAACGACAGCCAAGACGCCAGCAACTTCTGCTAGCTGAGCTCAGCTGTTCACCGGCCAGGAAATAAACATGGCTTCAGCAGGCTGCCTCCATATGGCACTGTGCAGGAGAGCCTCCCTTCAGTTTTTTTTGATCAGTCAGCAGAGAATCAATGTGCTCCGAATAGAAAATATTGTCCTGATGACTCTCTGCCAGCACAATCACTCATCCATGTAGTTCACCACGTGTGGCCTGGTTCTGACATCCCAACAGCATCTTCGTGCTGACCTGCATTCCCTGTAGAACATCGTGCTGACACAAGGGGTTTCATTTTATACTGCGAGGGGACTTGCTGTGTGCAATATTGGATATTTGTTTGGTCAAAACCTTTCAGTGGAAGATGTATGCAGGATGGACGGAGTCTCGGTTTGCCAGAGTGTCTTGCTATGGATCAGTACACAGAAGGATCTCAACAGAGGTGTACAGCCACTGCTTTATTCTCTTAGTACCTGGTTAAAAAAGAAAAAAAGGAAGCAGCATGAGAGCCATAATCTAAAAACAGGAGCAGAAAACTTGCCTGTAAATAAATTGTAAAGAAAATAATATATATAAATATGAAAACTAGAAGTGCTCATTAGCATTGCAGTTTGAGTCTAAGTATAGATTTATAGTGTAGCTGGTCAAAGAGAGGCTAACTTTAAGTACTTAATATGCTAAATAATTCATTCTCTAACTCTGTATCACATATTTCCATTATGTTTTGTGTGTAAAATCTAAATCTAGAGGATAAAAATAGCATTAAATAGTATCTGAATACTGTTCTCAGTTAAGGAACTCAAGTCAGTGTGCTTTGCATGTTACTTAACTCTTAACACATGAATGGAACTATCCACACAACTTGCTGTAACTCTATTGTGCAGCAAAACATTATCTCAATATGGAATTTTTAAGCTGCATATTTCCTCGTGGGTGTGACTTTCCGGGAATGTAATCACCTATCTGTTCTCCACGTTGCAGTTAGGAACCAGTAAAACTGCTCCGTTCTTCTCTAATCTAATCTGTTAGTAATCGTTTTAACTGTCTCCAAAAACCGGTTCCCCCCCCTCCCTCAACAGACTTCCTTTTGCATCTTTCCTCTTGACAGCTTTCTTCTTTGTTTTCCCACCATGTGTGTGTGTGCGTTCACTCACTCTCTGTGGTATGAAGACAAATCGTTCAAGGCTCCCAAAGAGTTCAGCTGCTCCTCCAGGGCTATGATCCTTAGCCCGATGTACCCAGACGCCAACAGGAGCAACACCAGTCTGCAAAAACACCCACAACAATGTCCTCAGTGCACCTTTGTGACTTTACACTCTTCCACTGCGATGCACTCGAGTGAGAGTGCATTGTGCAGAATTAATCGAAGACCGAGCGCGCGGCCAGCACATGGGAACATGCTGTACAGTGGAAACAATAAGATATCAGTAAATTGTATCTGAGCCGAGTCCGAGTGAACATTGTGTGATAACATTTCCATAACCCCCATCGCAAGGATAAAGATCATTTTCATCCCTCGAGAACTTTCAGCCAATCCAGCGAGTCAACATAATAGGTGTGTTTACACATTGCTGCACTTCAGAAATGTCGAAAAGAATTCGACATGAAACAGAACATTGTGTTTTTGTATGAGACATTGTGAGGCGCACAGTGTTTCGGTGCTGTCCTCAGGTTACAGATGTCAGGTTCACAGTTACGGTTAGTGTTATAATTAAGTATGTTTGGAGCTATTATGTATTCTGAATCCGTATTTTGCACTGAGCCTATGATTCTGTTTCGTGTTTTCCTACTGAGAACAGCATACGTCCTTGAAGATAATGAGAACCGGTTCACACGCTTGGAGATAGCGGAAACTCCTCTATTCTATCAGATACGATTGTTACTTTAGCTACACGCCGTACCAACAACATCCACACATGTTGCTTACCAAACATCAAGGACGTGGACAGAGCGCAGAAGAAGTATGCCTGTCCATGCCATTGGTAACTGGCCAGTTAAACTCGGGAGCGTACAAATCTTATCTATGTCCGGGGCAGGCCCAGCCCAAGAAGATAACCTGGAACCGAAAAACCTCAGTTCAGCTGGACATGAGATTCCTCTCTGTCCCTCTGAATTCCAGCGCTGCCTCACTTTACCTGTGACGGAAATAAATAAATTCTACAACTGAGAACTGAAGATTTCTCCGGTTTGTTCTTGGGCTTCCAACAAAAGAATCAGATCTAACACTAGACGGATGTAACGGAGCGATTCTGGCTGAAAGTTCCAGCTCAAGAAAGAAAAATCCCTTATGCCTATTTTTACATCCATGTTTATATTCCTAAAGGGTCTTAATCTGATCATTCTCAGTGCAAAATAGACAGTGGTGGAAGAATAATCCTCGATTTCAGTTAATGTCGCAAAATCACAACATTAAAACTGCATTAAAAAGCCCCATTCAAGTGTCACATGATAAAATCTGGAAATATTATTATCTTTGTTGCAATAAAACGTAAGCTTTGTTCTTGAAGCTGGTTGAGGTGGAGCTAATTTTATCTACTTTATGTTCCTCTGAAACAACAAAACAACCTCCAAATAAAGCTGTCAAATGAAAGAGGACAATACTTAACAGTAAATCTGAAGTAGCATAAAATGACTCACAGCAGGATGAAGACGTAGAAGAAAACGCTGAGATTCCTGCTTCCTTTGAGGAAGAAAAACGGTGTGACTCTGTCAGTTGCCCTCCAAATCCACCATACATCTGACGGAGACAGAAAAGCCATCAACTTGTTATTCTACAGCAAAACTTTACTTTGTGTCTTGTGGCTGATGTGTACTTGTGTGTATTTGCGTGCGTTCACACACACACACACACACCTTTGTAGTCTTCATCTATCAAGCTGCTGTGGCGAATGGAGTTGCTTCTAGTCGGACCTGAAGAAGAAGAAGAAGCAGAGCTGTGTTGTTGTATTCAGTGGTGTCGTTAAGACTCTTCAGCTCAGCAACAAAATCCTCGACATAATTATCTCAAGTGAACTTTAACAACCGAATTGAAAAACACTACTTTGCAGGAGCCAAACAGCGTCGAGCACTTCTATCTGTCTTTCCTCTCTTTCTCTCTACCTTCACTGGACATCTGAAGAAAGCTGTTGTCAATATCGACGTTGCTGAAATCCTGATCTCCGCTGTCCTCCAAGCTGGAAAAGCTGGTGGACGCCTGCAAGCCGAGGACAGGGACGTTAACAATCGTTTGTCATCATGCATTATGCACTCATATTCACTCGGCTGTAACCAGATCCGTGCAGCTCCTGGCCTGGTGAACCTACCGCATCATGATCAGCTTCATTCTCTGCAGAGGAGAGATGAGGGCTGCTGTTTGCACTTTCCCCCTGTTTCAAACAAACACAGAAACAGGTTTGGAAAAAAAAAAAAAAAAACGGCCTTTGTTTAAGGAATGATGCCTTTGTTGTGCCTACAGTACCTGCACATGTGAGCAGATGCTGTGGAGGAGTTTGTAACACATCTCCCGGTTCCTCAGAGACACAAATGAATACTGAGAGGAGAAAAAAAAATAAAAACAGAGCAGGAGAAAGGGTTAAACCCGGAACGAAACAAGCTACATTTCTGATTTGCATTGAGAGACGTGATTTGAAATCTCAGCTTCACAAGCTGCCAGTTTCACCGCAGGAATCTGAGTGGCAATTTTCCTTCTTTTCAGTCCAGTGTTCACCTTTTCTTTTTATAGATTTTTTTTATTTTAATAGGCACAAGTTACTGCACGCACAAAAAAACATGAGTACACCCCTGTGCAATATCACCTAAATGTCAAATGGTTCAAACTTGCATGGCCTGACAGTAATTGCATTATTTCTACGTTGAACAGCTTGTTCATTCCAGTTTAGATTGACTACATTAAAAACAGGCCCCACAGTAGAAACCTGGAACTTCTGTCCTTCTTATGCCTCCTGATTACTGCTGCAACTATGTTTTCACTCATTTTAGTGAGTTAATGATCTTCCATTTACCATCTTTGAAATGTTTTAGAGTTCCTCTGGCATGATGTGGATAGAGACAGAGAAGGTTCTGGTGTTAACTGGTCATTTTACAACCATATTCATACAATTAGAGTTAGTTTTGTTTCACCAATCACAGGTTTTCTAACTTGTGTGTCAGTGATCACAGGTGGATCCACTTTTGGGGGCCTGTTTTTTTCAGTATACTCTGTCTGTAGTGTTTGTTTTTTGATTGTTTATGAGAGAAAATACCTAAAAAAAATAATGCAGTTAAGAGGTGATACTGTTAAAAATCATTTGACATTTAAAAAAACATCGCACACTTCTGCAGCGCTTGTAAATGCCACCTACCAGAGCATTGTCTGTCCCTTAATAAATCACTGTGTAAATGCACAAAATACAACAACCCATAATACATATAATAACACAATAAGAATATAAGTTAGATGAAAACATCTACATTCCTGGTCTGTCTTGTCTTTGAAATTGAGTTTAAAATGATGACATTGATAATCAATTGTTATAAATCAGCCCCGAGTCCTGTGTGCTCGAAGTTTAATAACATCTATTCATAGACGCTGTCACAACTATTATTCCCCAAAGATTTATGTTGTGCTACTGAGCCAGAAACCCTGAGAGGTTTCAGCACATCACCGAGCACCTTCAGGGCCTGATTATTACACTCAGGCAGAAATCTGGATAAGATTAAAAAAACGAACAAAGTTAAAAAAAAAAAATCGAACCGAATAAACAAACAAAAAAGAAAACGCTAGAATTTGACAAGCAGCTCCCCCCTCTGTCCTTCCCGGCAGACCAGCACATGCTTCAAATGACATTCAATCTATCATTTTTGACTTCAGGTTCCAAACATCATTCTCCCTAATAAAAGTCTAACCTGTTGCATCACCACATAGATATAGATTGTTATAGATAGTATCTCTCCTGCTGGCTAAAATCTTCGATTCTCTAAAGTCTAAAAACGGAGTCAAGTGGACGTGGAAAAGTCTAGTTTCCTTTCAGACCATTTGAATGGCAAGATGCTGAAAGGTAATAGGGGATTTTATGCCCAATGATGCTAGAAAAATATCACCTCCCCCAACTTTAAAGTGCAAAAATAGCAGAACTTCTAGCTGCACAGTTATATTTTTATCTGTGATGGAAAGATTTAGACAATTTGTGTCAAATTTTTTTAACACATCATGCTGTAAAGTCCAAAACGATCCAAATAGAATTACAAAATGAAAATCAACATAGCATCTGTGTTGATTCTCAGTCATCCAGATTGAGGTAAATCCTTGAAGCTTCAGTAAAAAAAAAAAAAAAGCAACTTCTCTTTTAGGTTTACAGATACCTAAAAGAGAAGTCCGGCTGCTTTTTCCTGAAGCTCCTGGGAATACAACATGTATTTCTACAAGGGTCTGACCTTCTCTCCATCGACAGACTGAATAGACAGCACCGACAGGGCCGAGTTGTGTTTCTTCACCTCCCTCACGCTGGAAAGAGCGACCACCACCTGCAATATGTTGACGCAATTAGTTTGATCATTTGTTCCCTTTACAGCCTCACGCAGGACATTACAGTCGCCTCCCACAGAGACCTGAAACGTACACAAACAAATTAAGGCTTGATATTTCATCCTCTGCGCCGGGTTCGTAAAATAATTTCCCTTTACGCAGTCCGTCCTTGATAATAGAGTCTAAATGCTGAAGATGAAAGTGAATTCCCAGGATGCTTAATGTTAATGTTGACTGTTGCTTTATATCTTTTGGGACGTTTGAGCTCTAAAGGCTGTTCGAGCAGTTAACTTATGCCAGAAAATTAAAACCATAACATCTTAATTGGCCTTCGATGTCATTTTGAATGTGAGAAAGCAAATGTTAGAGCCCACTGTTGCTATCCAGTGTTAATTCATTCTAGCTGTTTAAGCCTCAGTGAGTGTGTTACCTTGGTTTCTTTGAGCAGCACAGAGGAGTGAAAGCACACATGGTTCTCGGAAACAAAGAGTTTTCCATGATACAGCACCTCCTTCTGCAAGGCACAGGTGAACGCTGCAATAGACACACACAGGCACATTGTGAAGGTATTAGGTAGGTGTTTCTGGAACAAAGGAAAAAGAAATCTGCAGTGTCACCTCGACAACAGGAGCGCGACTGCAGAATCGTTTACTAAAGTGTTTCATCTCTGCATTCGGTGCAAACCACTTGGCAAACAAGGTATGAAGCAGGACTTAATCGGACAGCAAAGACATCAGGGACAAAGTGTAAAAAAAAAAAAACCCGGACACAATGCCATTTCCATAATCAATATCAGTGAATAAGTAACAGACTCAACTCACTGTGTGTCAGCTTCTCCTCCTCGGGAATCTCCGGAAACTGTTTGTGGAAGCTTTTATTGCGCTTCGAGAAACTCTGTAAGAAGAAATAGCAAAGTGTTAATCAAGTGTGTTGATTGACTTTTATTGTGTTGCTTCTGAAGTCGTCTTCTAGCTCTGTGCTCAGTTACTAGGAAGTCTTGTGGCAAATATCTGACTCCAGAGTCTCTCCTGTGTTCATCGTACAGGGCAGTAATTGTGTCTATCTGAAGAGTCCATTTGCAAAAACAGATAACTCCATCTTCACAAACCTTCACTGTTCCATCGTCTACCTGAGGCAACATCAGTCAAACTTAAGTTATCTCTGTTTTTTTTAATGTCATTTCTACTGAGTCAAATCCACTCAACTTCAGTTTGATTAATATTATCTCAAACACACAGAGATTTCTGTTTTTGCAAATGAACTCTTCATTTGCTGTTGAGTAGCAGGAAGCGGTTTGTGAAACACTGTTATTATAAAAACATCCTATATAGCAGCAATTTTGACTGAATTCTGTCTGTGCTGCAAGAAGACGTGAACGAAGGATGTGCAGCAGACGTACTTGTCTGTTGATAGACCCATCTGATCGCTCAGGATTCTCCTCCGCGATGGTCTGCTCCCTAAAGACACAAAGCATTCAGATTTGCATTACTCACACAAAGGAGATTAAGGTGAATACGTTTGAAACCCCTCCTCAGGTTTTGGCTACACTCTGTGTCATGTCAAAGGCAGAGTCTACCTGAGGGACATGCTGGAATTGAGGCTCTGATTTAGCTCCTGGATCTCGTGCCGGGCGTCATCCAGAGTCTGACTCTGTTTGGTTTTCTTACTGTGAAATCTGCTGCATTTTCTTACGCCGAGTCCTGTATCCAGAGATCTATCGCAAGAGATCAGCAGACAAATGTCAGACTGATGATTCAGCTTTCACATGACGCACACAGGTGAGCTGGATATAGAACTACATAAAGTAATGAAAACAATAAATAAACGAATTCATTTCTCCCTAATGGGAGCGTCGCTTAATGTGTTGGCTTTCAGAGTTAACAGCATGGATCAAACGCACTCCTGCGTGCGGGCGGGAAACATTTCATTACATTCACTTTTATTTGTTTGCACCAGGTGAAGAATGACTTCCCACAGAGAGATGAATGCAGTTCATTCACAGACACAATTTGTTTTGTAAAGCATCAACATAAAGATCTGTACACTGTCACAGCACCGAACAGCAAATAGGTGCAAGAATGCTGCTGTTGATGTTTGCGAATCTAATCTCATATCACTGTCAGCTTGAATAGGTTTTTTTTTTATGTGAAAGCAAAAGAAACCAGCTCCACGGTCCTTGAGAAACCTCTCAAAATAGCAGCTGCACAGACTTTCTCCCTCTGCATGCACTGTCAGCCTGTTAGACCCGTGGTTAGTCTGCTGTCTCTGGGCAACAACGTGGATCTCTGGAGGATGGTTTTACTTTTGTAAGGCAGCCACTACAAAGCCTGGTAACAAAACACGACTGTACTGTACCGCCGGTGCTTAGAGGAATCATTGTCTGTCTTCAGCTAACTTTATAGTGGAAATGAAAGGGACAGAGGAGAGAGGAGAAAAAGATGAATACTCACACAGAGCTGTCCAGTGAGAACCTCCTGTTTCTCCAACTCATGATGAAACACATTTAACTCTTACACACTTGTATGCATAATTACAGCACAAGACTGTATCTTGATCTCTGCAGTTGTGAACTCTGTGTGTGTGATTCTTTTGGTTTCCTTTTCTGATGTAACTTCATGGACAAGCAGCAGGTGAGAAACACATTCAATGACAGCCCACTTTGAGAACCGCCTTTGTGTTGTCAGCCAATCAGCCGCGAGAGGTGGGAGTTTTCACCCGAACTAAACCAATCAGTGAACTCGTGGTGGAGAAGGCCACGCATCCACAAGCTTCTGCGTGTCATTGGCAACCGTTGCCATGCCACTACCTAACGCGACCTTTTGACACACACCTCGGTGCCAAACAGGTATGCAGCGGTCATGTGTTTGAGACACGACAGTCACACGATGTTTTGTTTTATGCAACCTGTTCAGCCTGCACAGATACACATCGGCCAGACAGCGAGGGACATCAGCCGGCCCTGATAGGACACGTGACTAAACACCACAAATAAATCACTGACACAAAAGTTTCATCATCAACTCTCAGGATGTTAAATGTAATATGTGATAAGGAAGAAATACTTTCGTGTTCAGATGATCCAAACTTGGACTGGATGTTAAATTTCAAAAGAAGGATTGATAGACTGTTTATTCAATGTCTTGGAGCAAATTTTTGGAAGCAGATCGTGAATGTTGCTAATCTTAAGATTTTTAGTATTTGTTATTGCATTCACAACATTCTGGTTTGTATGAATTTGAGGCATCTTCTATTAATATGCTTCACATATGGCAAAACCCCATACATCCACATTTTCATCTTTTATATTTCAGTTTTCTCTTAGTCTATTTATTATATTTATTATGTTATTTACTGCACACTAGTACAATCTAGGGCTGCAAGGTGGTTCGGTGGTTAGCACTGTCACCTCACAGCTAGAAGGTCGCCGGTTCGCGTCTCGGTGAGGACACCCGGGATCTTTCTGCGTGGAGTTCTCCTCAGCTTCCTCCCACACAGTCCAAAAACATGTTGAGGTGAATTGGTGATTCTAAATTGTCCGTAGGTGTGAATGTGAGTGTGCTTGGTTGTCTTCCTCTAAGTGTAGCCCTGTGATACACTGGTGACCTGTCCAGGGTGTCCCCTGCCTTCACCCTGAGTCAGCTGGAATAGACTCAAGCCCCCCACGACCCTAGTGAGGATTAAGCGGTGTATAGATGATGGATGGATGGATGTTACCTGAGGATGTGACAAAATACAATGAAGTTTGGCTGTTAAACATGATGTCACACATTTAATATTGCGTCTCCTCAACCGTGTCCCCTTATAGCTGAATAATATTTCAGATTGTGATTACTACAGCAACAGGCACACAGAAGGTAAAGCATGTGTGTAAATTATAAAATAAATCTTGAGTTACATGTGTGGTTTTCCTGCTATGACACAAAACATGTCTGCTCTGAAAATCTGCTTTCGAAAATACAATCTACAATGGACAGATTGTGATATCAAATCGCTTAATTTATGGTGTTTGATTTTTAATAAACTGCACCCAGTTGCTTTTTTATATCATATACACCACACACTCTCTGTTTAACCGATGTCAGCGCTTATTTAGAACGAGATGTGTGTTCATTCTGAAGCACAGGAGCTACTCAGGTTGGGCAGTTTTTCCTTTCCAGCTGTCCGCACTGTCAAACTGTATGTGCTGGTGTGATATATGATATATGACAGAGTGTCATTTCAGATGGTGGCTCTCTTCTCTCTCCGTCCTCCACTGGGAGGTCGGTGTCATCTCGCTTTAGCGTTTTTATTTATCCGATTTCCCTCAATAATGATCATTTTAGGTCAAATACAGTGCGAGTATTTGCTGTGGGGGATTATGTGCCATGTTTTAGCGCAGGAAGTATTTGTGTTTCCAATCGAAATGGAAAGCAGAAATGCATCTCACTTTACTAGTAGTGTTCATTTTAATATAGTCTGGGGGATTGGATAGGGGAACGTGTGTGCTGTGAGGTGGCAGCGGGTGTGTGTGATTGCTCGGTTGTGTATGTATGTTTGATTGTATCATCTTGATTGTATTCGGTACCTAGAGTATAAATTTGCATTCTATATTTACCACTGAGCCTGCAGGGACCGCAGGTGGAAATTAGCTGCTAAATCTGATGCACTGCATCTCCTATGAGATTAGTGTTTTTTTGTGCACAGTCCCTGACAAATACATTAAAAAATATAAGTAGATGAATTTTTATAATCTTTTTTTTTTTCCAGTTCCCGTTGTCTGGATATGTAAAGGCAACCAATACTGTTTAAAGTGTACGGATAAAAGAATGGCATGCACAATCAACCAGAATTGAATTAAATCCATGATCAGTTTGGCTTTAAATGATTCGCATACTTTGCAGTCTAAGGCGCCCTGATGCCTCCATTGTCAGATAAACTCTGAATCTATTGTGCTCAGTGAGTGTTTGTTTGGAGCTGGGTCACGCCAACAGTCGTGACTTGTCTCTGCATAATGTCACCATGTGAATGTGACAGAAAACAGAGCAGATACCTTCATAATAACTGAAGTTTCCTCATACAGATGAATGAATAGTCCTCTAACTGCTGTCTCAGGTTACTGGGCCTAACACATGTCATGACGGAAATAAAGCACAGTAAAGTCATTAAATAACCAAACATGGAGGGAGATTTTCTTTTCCTGTGTTTTCCTGTTGTTACTTTTATACAACTAGGCAGTGGGATTTCTAAGATATAAGAAGGAAGCAGTGGGTTAAAATGGTCACATTCAGTTCATAGTGGTCAAACTACGCCCGGTGTTCTCTTCTCCTTCACGTGCATCCGAGATAAATATCAGACAGACAGAAACAACGAGGACGACGCATGTGAACTTTACAACTTTTCTACAACTTGTTCCTGAAAAGTCGAACTGGAGCAGAGTTCCGTTTAGGTCAGATTAGTTTCACTATTACACTTGATTTTTATCTTCTTATTTATGGGTTTGTGCTGTCGCGTACAGAAGACGAACACACGGCGTCTACATTCCTGGTGTTCAATCCTGAGCAGGCAGCAGTCGTCTAAAGTACGTCACTGAAACAAAGAAAGGGTAGTGAAAAGGAAAATATAAGGACAAAGGATAGTATTCTTCCTCCTGCTGGTTTCTTTGTAGTTTTTGTGAGAAACATCTGCAACTCAGGAGGGGATGTGGCTGATTTTGCTGCTAGATTAACTGTGTTTCCTGTACTTCTGCTGAATAGAGTAATTTGAATGTTTCTCACGCAACTGTGAAATGTCAAACTATTTTTTTTTTTGTTGTTGTTGGCAAATTTAGTTTTTAAACGCACCCAAGTGATTCTTGTCATGGCAGTGTTTCTCCATCACTACTATCTACCCCATATGACATGAATGCAGCCAGATTTATCCAGATTTATCACCCAAAAACTGCCACTATTTTTTTCTCAAACCTGAACGCAGCATATTTTTGTAAATCTCCAAACTGGCATTTTCCAGTGGACTTTCACTGCAAAATTTTCAAGCATTCTTTTTAGGAGGTGATCTGTGTGCAGGTTATTTAGTAAAAGCTGGGCTCAGTGACAGCAGTGCACTTTATTATCAATTTACTTTGGTCCCATCTAGTGGACGAGGAGTGAATAACACAAAAAGGACAAACGAACAAAAACGAAACAATAACCCCACAGGAATCAAGCAGCTCGTTGTGCTGTATATCCAATCATCCTGCTTTTAATACAAAGTCAAGATACAATATCTACATCTATGGTTTGAAAGGAAAGAACAGGTACATAAGTGAGGGGGATGGCATCATCAGAGCTGGCCCTCAACACATTTCATATTATGTTTCGCGTGTGCCTTTTTATATTTCTCTTGACACAATAATCATTAGAAATCGAAGGAATAACATATTTCATATATGTCAAACATTGTCAAGACTTCAGGACCACACATAGAGTTCATATGAGAATAATTTCAGATTCAAACAATAACCTTTGAGGGTGTGTAAAGTGTGTAGCTAGGCCATTCTTACCTTTTTCTCTGTCAAAAATACACTTGCTACCATGTGCTTTCAAGCAAACTAAACATCAGCAGCTCGTCAGGAGGTTCTCGCTGATGAGTCTGCTCTATATATCTAACTTCTCTGATGCCCTTACACCGGCGGCGGTGGGGTGGAAAACACACTTCCGCTGCTGTGATCCCACCGCTGCTGTTGCTATGTAGGTTGGGTCGAGGAGGGCTTCGAAAGGGCATCACTGTAAACTTAAACTAGTTCTGCCTCTAATGTACATCTCTAGCTAACTAGTCGGACATCAGTAATCAGTATCAAATAGCACCCTACACAGAGGGCATACTTTATGATAATAAAGCAAATAAAAAAGCACCAAAACTGACCAGTAAAAATAAAAAAAACAAACAGTGACAATATCATACTTTAACATTGGCTCGCCAAAAGAAACAAGTAAACAACATCTTATTGGTTATAATTGCTAGAAATAAAAACAAACATAAAAAATAACAAAATAGAATAATAAATATCTTTAAAAAAAAAAAAAACCCATATGAAATAAATATGACAAAGTGAACGATAACAATAAGGCTTTTTTGCGACAATAAGTACTACATCACATCCAATCCCACATTATATCTTGTGCTCAGACGTATGTAACTGTACTGTATAGGACTCCAATGATAAGACTGTATGTACAAAATTGGTGAATTCGCCCAAGATGTCTGGTACACTGCAACATCGCTGTGCTCGTTAATCACCACGCGGGACCAATTATGATTATATGTCAAATTAAGAAAAGATTTACACCGATATCAAGGACTTGTGCAGTTGTACTGGAGTTAGACGGAGGGGAAAACATCAATTGGTAAAGTCGGGATGTTCTGTACAGTGGGATTTAGGGAACAGAGAAGATTTTAATGGGGTTTATATGGAGGCGGGAGAAAGGGAGAGAGAAAGAGAGAGGACTGTTGAAAGTGAGCGATATCCCCGCTAGCTCTGAATATTTTCTGGATTTCTCTCATTATCTTTCACTGCCAGTAGCCTTACCTAGTAAAAATATAAGAAGGATTTAACTGCAAAGTGGTGCAATTCAAGTAGGGAAGCTTCAGAGGAAGGAAGATGATCAGGAAACAACTTTCATCCTCGAGAGGAGATGATGTATGACAATTAAAAGTTCAGCACACAATGCATGAGCATTAAGCAGCATGTTAAAACACAAGAAAAAACGAAATAAAAAGTCAGCATAAGGCAAAGACGTACAGTAAAAACACACAGAAAGATCTACAGAAACGGGCCGCGAGAGAAAGAAAACCGACTGGAGCTCAGTTCTCTCATTAGCATCTCTTTCAATAAGCCACTGCTGTACTGACACAATGGGACTGACATCAAGAGGAGCGGAGCTGGAGGATGAACAAGGACTACAGCAAATAGCAAGCAAGCTTTGTTAAATGAAGTCTGCGCTGGACTACAAGTCTCAGCCCGGTTCAGGGGAGTGGTGGGACCTAATCGCTGCTCTGAGGCCAGCTGTTACTCAGTGAGGACGAGACTCAGGGTGTGAACTGATCCTTGACCTTTTTGTTTTTTTTTTTGTTGTTTTTTTTAAAGAGCGGTCTCTAGTCTGACTTTGTGTTATGCTGGATGACAGAAGGAGCCATCTCTCCTTATAGGCCACAGTTCACGCTGCAGGGTTTCTCTTGGCACTGTGCATTGGGTAAATGAGCATCCACATGCTTCTCCAACAGTCCTCAGGGTGGTGAGTCCAAACTGTAGGCTTCTGCTGAGGCGCTAAAAGATGAGCTTTTGCTTCAAACTACAGTCAGCAGTAGACACCTTTGAAAGAGACTCACAGACACATAGAAATGTTCACCTTTTGCACTTTGTAACGCCTTCAGTACACCAAACCAATAGATACAAAGTTGAGGATAAAAAGCCCATTTAGGGTGCAGCAAATATCCAGGCTCTTTGTGTGTGCTTTTTTTTTCTTTTTTTGTTTCTTTTTTTCAAATCATTTTGTATTTTATACACATAGAGTATCATAATTCCTGTTCAGAATCCATTTTGTATTTCACTGGTTCATATTGGAGATAGCTGACCACAACACACATGTATTATACGTCCTTCACACTGGAACACTGAGGTAAGTATATGGATTACACATGGATAGTCTCCACACCCACCAGCTCCTCAGGGAAGCTCCCGATGAACGTGAGTGCTGTTGTTGTTGTTGTTGTTGCTGTTTCTTTTTTTTTGTTGTTGCTTTTTTCTTTTTTTTTTTGTGTCGCTTGTTGTCGTAGTTGGTGTAGAATTCGTCTTGCTCCCGGGAAAAAAAAAAAAGGTTCAATATTCACGCTATTATTTCAGGCCGTCTTTCTCTTGTGTCGCGTGTTGGTTTGTTTGTGGACCTCGAAGCAGAAAGATGGATGGATGGTGGTGTCGTCTCTTACGTTGCATAGTGGTCAAAGCTACCCAGGTACTCCAGAGCGGCCTGGTAGCAGAACTGATACTCATCCTGGAGGAGAAACGGAAGGACAAAAAAAAAAAAAAAACAAGAGGGACATTTGTCATGAAGTGTTCAGCAGATATCTCACAACACCCATCCAGGCTCATTTTACAGCTGAAATTGTGGAAAAGCTGTCGAAATACACACTGTACTGACATCTAGACCTAATGTTGGGAATGCTGAGTCATGTTTTTCTTTTTAAAAAGTGTATCAGGTTTAGAAATTTACACTTTTGCAAAATGCATTTTTTTTTACTTGCAGATTAAGATTTGGGAAAATCAAATCATCAAATATGAATTCACACAGTCTGAAAATGAAAAAATGAATAAGAAGCATCTGCATAGCCAAATATATAAGAGTGACACCATTACAGAGAGATACATTTGGGTTTTTTTGGGTTAAATTAATACATATGAGCTTTTAGAAGTTACAGTTTTTCTTCTTTTACGCCTACTTGTTAGTGTGCTTGTGGAATTGTATGTGTTACTGAGGCCAAATGGGGCCAATATCTAAAATATTGTCATTAGTAACAGGCAGTAATAATAGGAATGGTTCTAAAGGAAGCATGCTTACTTTAATCACATTATCATTCATTAAAAGGTTCCGATAAAGTCCTAATATACATCAAATGGTTAAAAAACGGGTCCACATTTGGCAAAATGTCAAGTTTAAAAATAGTAATACAATTATTGCTTCAAACAACACCAATAAAATTCCCTCCTTAAGCTGTGTTTACCTCAGTCTGCACCATGGCTGGTCTCTGTGTGCGCAGCATTTTGACAGTTTGGAAGATGTCCACTGCCCCTTCGTAACGCATCCTCTCCAGGACAATACTCAGAGTGATGAAGACACCTGTCCGCCCAACGCCAGCACTGCAGACGTACAGAAAAACAATATTCCACAGTTTACAGTGTGTCAGATCTCTGACAACAACGTGCTACAGTCTGGAAAACGTACAGTGGCCTTTACGCACGTGGGAGTTAAATTAAACTGTACTTTAATTAACAGCTAGTTTTGTTCACCTGCAGTGAACGCTGATTGGTCCGTCCTGGCCAAACTGCTCCTTGGTTTTGTGCACTTGGCCAATGAAATCGATGAAGCCCTCCCCAGATTTGGGCACGCCTTGCTCTGGCCAATCAGTGAACTGGAACTGACGCACTGTTCGTGATTGGCCATCCTGAAGGAAAGAGAAGGTCAAAACAGTCCATATGAATATCCACAGAAAACCAGTCTGTCTTTTCAACACCTATCATGACTTTTATACTAAAATATATGATTATGTGAGGTGATAATTTGAAAATGAGTATTTACAGAGTTTCTTCTTGCTATATTGACAGAATGGTGAAACTCTGCCAGGCAACATCCTTTTTTCCTTCTAATGATTACTGTTATCTGACCCTGAATCAGTGGCTGTGGTTAACTTAAAGCTGTAACGTCAGTACGTCTGCTATTGTCAGCCACTCAGTAGGCAATTACATCTTTTCTCTTCTGCTCAGCCTTTCTGACTCCCCTTTAATGGAGATCAATAGTGCATCTGTCGATGTGGCGTCACTGCAGGACAGGCTTAACTGGAGTTATCTATGACTGGCACATATGTGCGCGAGTAAAAGTGTACACACAGTCATACACACACAGTCATACACACACACACACACACACACACCCATGCAGTCAAGGTAATCCGGAGACAGTGTGGTTCAATGAGTACTTTACAGCGTCTTGTCGATAGTGTTAACCTGTTGTGTTACTTACATTAAAAAAAAAAAAAACACACACACACGACCAGCACACATGCCAGGTCGATAGGACATGCTTTGCACCACCGCCTTCGAATGGCACCGATGGAGTAAAGCCGAAAGGTCAAGGAGCGTGATGTTGCACAGTGACTGAATGCAACATACAAAAAGAAGGCGAGTCGTTAAACACACTGAAGGCGTGAACCCACCCTGGCATCTGTAACTTTGAACTCCCGGAGGATGTACTGAGGCATGTTGTACTCCGCCATGGGGTCCACCACGAAGTACTGATACCTGGCTGAGCGCTCGGCGGGCCAGTACTGGTGACACTTCTCCTGATGGAGCAGAACACAACAAAGTATTGATGAAACGTGCACAGAGGCCCGAAATGAGACAAAAATACTTATTTGTGGGACTCTGTGTATGCATGTATTTTGTCCATACCCGTCCCATTTCTCTCAGCTTGGTCAGCATGACCACTATGGTGGAGTTGTGTTCCCACAGCATCCTCCAGAAGTCCTCTGTAGTCTCAGCCAGTGGACCCTGGGTGGCAATGTAGCCTCTCTGCTGCCTAAACACACACACACATACACAAGTTATGCAGCCACCTCCTCCCTCCTCCCTTCATCTCCCAGTTTCTTCATCTGTCAAGCATCAGACTGAAAAGGGGGTCAGGCTTCAGGCAAGAAGAGGAACAGTCAAAACATGTGTGTACAACTGCTCTGAATGTCTGAATCATCAGAAAGTCCTCAGCGTCTGTCCCCTTCGCAGGGACCAAAGCGAGTTACATGCAGTGAGACAAATAGTGGGAACATGTATAGAGTAATGACAGATCTGACAGGATGTGACAGATGAGAGCACTGTGGTGAAAACCTATCCAATCCGCTCACTCATCAAGCCATCACAGGAGGACGCGGGGGGTCGGGTCATATTAGCGTTTGCAGGAGGAAAACATACCTGTATCCATCTATGTAACTGGCATTGATGTAGTCGGAGCCCTCCAGGCCTCTGATTGGCTGGAGACACACGCGAGTGGTTTCATAGGGCATGATGTTGACCAGTCGGTTCTTGAATTTGTTGCAAGGCAGGTTGGCTGTGACGAACCGGGACGTGTGGGCTTTGGTGTTAGCCAGCCGCTGGATGGAGACAAAATGAGCATGTAGGATTTTAGTTTTTTGTAGCTTCAAATTGTATAATGTAGCAGATCAAAACCAATTTTGCATGACAGAATGCAGAATATTTTAAAGCGCTTTGCCTCACTGGCTAATATAAAATGCTATGCTGGTGGTTGAGATCCACTGAGTGGGTTGGGAGATGAGAAGACTGGGGCAGTAAAAATGAAGAAATAATACAGTGACCTGCTTTTTCAGACTGTTCTACAAAATTCTCAGTTATCTTCTTGATTATTTGGCTAAATATCTCAATCAGAAACTGTCACAATATAGTAGAAAACTGCTGCCACAGTTTACCATACCCCAAGGTAACATTTGTCGCTAGCTTTTTCTGTAAATTATTTGTCCAAAGATAACCAGTTTACTGTGAAAGACCAAAGAAAAACAGTCTTTGATATTTTAGAAAGTGGAACTGATAGAGATTCATTTTCCGTAGATCACCTAATTAATTAATTTACTGATGGTTTTAGTGCTGATTATCTTTTTTCTCATCAAGTCATAGTCACATAAGCTCATGTTTCTTTATAATTTTGCATGCCGCTGTATTTGGCATCCATTCAATTCAAATACTTTCTCCAGCCATTTGAAACCTCCCCGGCCCTCCATACCTTAAACTCCAGCTCCATGCCGGTGACATGCTCCCCGCTCTCCACCTTTGACAGCTTCTGCATGTAGGAGTACAGACTCCTGGCAGCCACTTCAGTGTTCCCGCAGGCCACGGCCTCCAGCAGGGCCTCGTGGATGAAGCTGTATTGATCCTCCGTTTGCACCATATAGTTCCTTTGTGAGCGCATCAGGGTCACATGGCCGTAGATGTCCACAGTGCGCTCATGTCGAATGCGCTCCAGCATTGCATCGATGACGATAAAACATCCGGTGCGACCAACGCCAGCACTGAGAGACGGGGGGAGAAATTAGAGTTTTTGATGTCTCACTTATTAGGGGGTAGTTTTGTGAAACAGAATAATTCACTTTTTTTTGCTGAGAGCTGGATCAGAAGAAACTAAAGCCAGTTAGATAAGCTCAGCCTCCGAATCAAAAATGAAAAATGCAAATATTCTGCCTAGCGGCTACCGTAAAGCTCTCTAATAGACACATTTTAAATTGTTGATTTAATCTGTGCAAAAGCTGAGGCGCAAAAATAACAAATTGTGGATATATACGGGATATACGCTGGACTTCTTCTTGGCCGGGGGCAGTGACAGCATGGTGTCACTGTGAGGTTTGCTGGCAGGAAGTTAAGAACTGTGCTTGGCCAAGAAATAGTATCCAACCTCCCATAAAACCACATTTTTGTATTTATACACTTCAGTACACTTTGTACAGATCAAACAACCAAAGTGTAATTCAGTGACCTTTCAGTGTTACTTTTGGACGGAGGCAGGCTAGAAAAATTCCCTGGTTTCCAGTCATTTTGCGAAGCTAACCATTACCTCACTGAGGCTTCACAGTCATGACGACCAATCTTTGCATTTAGCTCTCTGAGATAAACTCGTTCATCGTACCTGCAGTGAGCAATGATGGGTCCGGCATCGGGAGGGTTGCAGGCTTTGACCCTGCGGAGGAAGTTGAGGAAGGGGGTCGGATACTCTGGCACGCCGTGATCGGGCCAAGCCGTGAACTGGAACTGACGCACCTCTCTCCTCTCACTGCTTCCACTCTGATGTGAGAAAAAAAAAACTGACTTTACTAACTGTCTGTATATGTACATGTGTGAGCTTCATCATTATTAGATCCCAAAGAGACAGGCAATTTGCTTTGGTAGATATCCTCAGAAATGTCTCTATTAATCACGAATCCAATCTAATTACTGCCAGCAATACAAGCCATGACCTTAATACAGCATATTTAGGAAGATTTTATATTGAATAACACAAAAAAATAACTAATAGAAAATAAAACCAAATCCCAAATTGCACCTCATGTAAAAAAAAAAAAAAAAAGACTCTTCTGAGTATAATACCCATATTATTCTCTACTATGATATTTCTACTAACTTGATGTTTCACAACACATCAACAGAAATTTAGAGAAGCTACACTTGGAAGCTACAGTTGGCCTAGTTTCTGTGTTTGCAAGTAGGCCACAGAGACACGGCAGTCTGACGGCCCTAGATTAGCCCCCCGTGCTATAAGAAACTGCTCAGCTTCCAACAGTGATCAAATCTCAGCTCCTGACACAGGGAGGTTGGCCTGGTTTGAACACTCCGTGAAGCCCAGACTAATCTATTATCCTCCATGTGTCCACACGCGCCACTCGCTCGGTGACGGCGGAAATTCGTGATTACTCCAGTTGCTCCTGGTTCCAAACTGTAAGCTCGAGAGATCAAAGCAGTCTTCAGCGGATGTGGTATTAAATTTAATAGAGGTAAAGGCAGAGCGGGCAGAGTGGAGTGTGGATACAGATGGAACAGGAGGCTTGAAGAGAGGGGTGGAAAAAAAAAAAAAAAGGAGCGAAATAATTTACCTTATGCAGGGAGAAGGTGCGAACGCAGAAGGTGGCCAGCTCCATTGTGTCCAGCAGCGTGACCTGGATCATCCCGTATGTCTCGGTGCCGCGGCTTGGCCAGTATTGATCACACTTTATCTAAAAGGAAAAGGATTCTTACTCCTACCGTAAGTTCAGTTTCATCAAATCTGCTAACAAAACAGCCCATTACACTATAAATCACAGGTGAGTCAGACAGTGCATTCATGTGTAACAGTACTCTAGATAATAAGCATTGTAGATTTGGGTCACTGGGTGAGGGTTTGGTTTCCTACCCGTGATTTCTCCTCCAGACGTGTCATCATGACGACAGAGGCGGCCCGCTGCTCCCACACCATCCTCCAGAAATCCCCAAACGTCTCCGCCAGCGGCCCCTGGGTAGCAATGTAGGCATTCTGCTTCCTGTAGCCATCAATGTAGTTGGCGTTGATGTAGTCGCTCCCCAGGATACCTGCAAATGAGACACCAGTGAGTCTCCTGCTAAACTGCAATCTGCATAACTGACATATTAAATTAACCTCCATGTATGACATCAAACAGCCTAACGAACTGCTTGTTTCTGGCAGCGGCGGCTTCCAAAAGACAGGCTCCTGGATGACTACCGGACAACAACAAACAAACAAGGCTCTGTCGGTGCAAATTCATGAGCTCCAGATCAAATCCATTCTCCCCCTTCTTGCTCTGAAGGAGTGCTGGCTGCACTTGAATGCACTCGCGCTGTTTGTCAGTCTCGTGCCACTGCACACAGTTGGTCTTCAGCACTGTTTGCAATTTCAGATTTCATCCATCATGCAGCTCCCCCGCCGCACCACCCCACCTCTTTGTCTTCACCCCCTGAGCACAAATATGCTCAGACTCCCTCATTAGAAAACTCTAAACATCTTCTTCAACTCTGTGTCGATTTGCTGCTAATCCTCACCTTCTATGGGCGCCAGGATGACTCTGGTGTGGTCGTACGCGATGACGTTGGCGTAGCGGTTTTTGGGCTTGTTAACCTCCAGGTTGGAGTGTTCCCAGGTGAACTGCTGACTCGGGTCGATTGACTGGAAAGAAAGCGAAATACACACATTAATAGTGTGCAGTGGCATATTTAGTGGTGCATTTGAAGATAATGGAAAGAGAGTGCTCTGGAATACAGACAAGATACTAGCAATAAATTGCACTGCTGAATAAATCATGAACATATAGCCGGCACACAGATAAACAAGTGTTAAATAACATTTGCTTTATGATGCCAAGGCTTAACAGGCTTAACATCTCCACACAATAAGGATTATCCATCTATTTATTTATAGGGAAGGAAAATGTATTTCTCACCTCGTACTCCTGGGAGAGTCTCAGGTTGTCGTTGGCTTTCAGCAGCTCTATGTGCTCAGCCAGCTCGCTGATGGGGATGGGAGGATGGCTCATCATTCCTACAGGAGTCAAGAGCAGCACCGGGTCAGAGGTGACGCCGACTTCAGCTCAACGACTTGCAGTACAGCAGGTCGACATCACTCATATGCAAAGATGTGAAGATAATTATACAATCAGACAACATCACATATCATTAAGGAACACGCTGAGGCAGAAAATCAATTTTGATCCATGTGCGAGGACAAAGTGAGGCGAGTCTTGTTTGTTTGTAAATTGTTTTTCTTTGATAAATTGCTTTCTCTGTGATCAGAGGAGCAGCGACTCAGAGAAAACAAACACAGACAGAACACTAATTAGGAGGGTTGCACACACGTACGCACACACGAGCACAAAAGGAAGCAACCTATGCCTCCTACAGTCGTTGCTTTTCACAGCTGGAGTGAGAAAACAGAAGCCATGGCAATCCATTCCCCCATTCAGAAGCCAAATGGTTACAATAATAAATCAAAGTAACACTGCTACGTGTACAATAAACACAATCCATAAAGCCAAAGTCAGAATGCGTTCTCGATGTTCCTGGAATCATAATGCATGTCGATGCACTGTGAAAAGCATTTAAGTCATTCGGCTGCTACACCTATCAAACGCAGGGCTCGGATCGACGGGTTATTTTCTTCCGCGGGCTGCAACTGCAGCATCCCACAGGTAACCACGACAAAACGCTCCTGTCACGACCAAAACGACCTCAGATAGCATCAGCCGGTTTTGTTGGAAACAAATTTCATCGGTGCAGAGCATCTCAAAAGCACAAATCTCAGGGGAGAAGAAGTGGGCGAGGAGGGAGCTTCAAGGTTGCTGCCACACGAGAGTAAAAAAAAAAAAAAAAAAGTCTTATGATGAAAGAGGAAAGCTGAAGTGCTTTATTCTGCAGGTTTTTCTTTGCTTCCCAGGAACATGTAAAAAAAATATAAAAGACATCAGACCTTCATCTACTGATTAAATAAAAATCCGTCTCATTTGACCTTGTACACGCCAGCAGGTAACGCTTCTCCATGGTGACACATCTCGCCACATTTTCCACGAGCACCTCATGGCGCTTTGATAAACTGCAACCGTGAAAATATTGTGAGAACACTGATTAAATTCCTGCAGTTTGCGTCTTATTTGGATGTTGTTAAACTGAACGGAAGGAGTGAAAGGGAAGCATCATCGGCCTGGTGCCACGACCAAAGCAGCTGTGTTGTTAGATCTCGCTCGGCAGGGGGTGGGGAGCGGCCAAATCCGTGTAGTCATTTCAAAGTGCAGCTTTAGTTGGTTATGCTGCTGAGAACAGAATCAATTCTTTCGCAAATGATCACTGTTAACCCACAGCGCACCTTTTGATATATACGATTCTCAGCTCTAAACATTCAGGACCGATAAGACAGATTTCTGTCTGTTCTGATGCTGCTATCTGCAGCTTGGCATGTGGAATGTGGGCGAGTGGAGATGATCAGATTTTGTCACACCGTCATGACTCAGCTGTGACTAAGCACTGACTGTACTACCTGGGCAGCGGCCATTTTGATCTCAGAAACGACTGGAAGCTGCCAGGTACATGTTGGCTGTGAGAGAACTTTCACAATCTTGTCTGCATAATCTTCCCAAGGATAAAATTAGTTGCATGAATATTTCATTTCTCAATGATGAGCAATTGGAAGTACACTTTAATATGCAAATACAAAGTGTGTGTTTGGGTGTGGGTTCATGTTTCGTACCAGGAGTCTGGAAGTTGATGCGCCTCATCTCCACGGGGTCTGTGGGGTGATGGGCCATCATCTCCGCGTTGCTCAGAAGACTCTTGGTTCCGGGTTCCGAGTCTTTGCGCTTACTGCTGAGACGCCAGTGAGTCGAAACAGCAATTAGCACATGTAAAAAAAACAGGAAACGAAAACCAGACTCAGTACTGACACATCATTAGCGTGGCTACTCGATTTGAGTAAATATTGCATTAACAGATACGGTGCTTTACGTTTCACAAGTACAAGTTCTCCGCAGAGCATCTGGTATCACGCGGGTTAAAGCGAACAAAGAGCTTGACATTGGTTTAATCTTACCTGTCAGGTTTGCTGCTTCCAGTGAAACGAGAGGAAGGGAAGGCATAATTAGAGGAAGAAAAGGAAGGAAACAGACAGATTGTTAGAGTGGAAAATCAATATTTTGCATTAGTATTCAAAAGCTTGATGGCCTGCTGCAGATATCACGGGCCTACAGCAGGGTCGGACTGTTTGACGGCTGTCTCAAGGCAGAACAAACTTCCAAACTGAAACAAATTTGATGACATTTGAGCATTTGTGGGTGAAGAGTTGCGCTTTGAACAATTCTGGTTCAAGAAATATCAGCAAGACGAAAAGCACAGCACAACACAATGCATGCTTCATGTTGTTGCCTTGTGGGAAACACACCAGTGAGGCCCTGTTGTTGCACTGGATGACATGTTCCGTAATTATAATGAGCACTGGCACTGTAGTTTATTTTGAGTCGATCCCACATACACAGTCCTGCTGCTGTAAATACTCACTGGAACAACATGTATATTAATGCAGCGCTGAAAATATTCCCTAACAAAGACATTATTCATTATTATGTGAGTAATAGCTGCTGAAAATTACAGTTCCCAGCTGTTTAAGAAAAATGTATAATGTATGTGTGAGACATTTTTACAGATTTACATATTCAGTAAAAAAAAAAAGGAAAGGGCTTGGGGCCTTGAGAAATAAACAGGAGGAGGTTGAGATGCATTGAAAGGCATTGGTGCCTTTCATGGGATTTGTTGATATTGTGAAAAGTATACAATAAAGCCACTCTTATCCTCTAAGAGTCGTAATCAAAGCTGCTTTGGCATTTACCTGGTGTGACCAGCAGTCTGAGTCAGTGTCACGGTCGTAAACTTGACATTTTGTGTTTCTTTCTTTTTTTTTTTGGCAATTTTTTTTTTTTCCTTTTTTTTTTTTTTCAACACAAATGCACAAACAGTACACAGTAAACAAACATAAACATTACAGGAAGAATGCTGTGAGACTGGTCCAGATAATGAAGGACTTTGTGGCATTAGTAGCACAGAGGAATAATGGAATAATGCACTTGTGCAATAGCCAATGTTATGCTGTGAAATATAATAGTAAGAATAAAACATGAGTCAAACCCGTGCCCTCTGTTCCCTATTCAGAAATATGGCAATTGACCATGATATTACAGATTTAAGTCCAGGTTATAAGCAACTCCCAAAGGTTTCAGTGGCTTCCTCCATTTCTGCAGAAAAAGATGAGCTCTTCCATTGATATAATGTCCAAGTTTATCCAGGGGCACAACCTCTGAGATCAGGGATTTCCACCCAGAGATAGCAGGGGGGTCCTCTCCGACCCACTTTACCATTGTGGCTTTCTTGCCAACATTCAAAGCGACTGGATTACATCTTCATTTGCTTTAAGAGAAGCAGCGGTCTTGCCAAGCAGACACAGAGGTGGGTCTATTGACACCCCTAGGGGATAAATAAAGTTATTTGAATTGAATTGAATTGATCTATTGCTTTACTAAGACTTGAGCAAACTGCCGTCCAGAATGTTTGGATTTTTTTTGCATTCCCTCAGACAATGCAGCCCGGTGCCTATGCAAAATTTACATTTGGGACAATTTGACGAGGTTCCTGTTCTATGTTTACTATAGACATGTGGAGATATGTAGACATGATGGAAATGTTTTACTGAAAAGCCCAACCAGGGACAGGAGTTGAAAATTAGCTTAATGCTTTACACTCATACATGCAATACATCAGATGTTTTCCATGTAAAATGCATGGTCCCTGATCAAATAAATAAATGAAATGAAATGAAATGAAATGCACAAATCGAGATTCTGGAAGGCAGTATCTCATCCCACACATCATCATCGATTACACATTTGCGTAAGGTACTCCATGATGTTCTTAACCATAAAAGTTTACTCAGGTTCAAGCTCAACATCTGAGAATAAAATCTGGATACAAAGTGGTTCTTGTTGCGTATAGTTAATAAAAAATCTATCTAATGGATGGGAATCGTTTGGGATTTCCAATGAATTGGTCTTCGTAAACACAAAGTGCCTAACCTGTACATATTTGTAAAAGTCTTTATTTGATATATGGTACTGAGTTTTAAGTGATTAGAATGTCATAAATTTCCCATTTTCAAAGAGGTCAAAGATTCTTGTAATACCTGCCCTTCGCCAGAGTATAAAATTTGGTCCTGTTTCCTGTGGTGAGAGCTCCAGGTTATCTGTCAGTGTCGTTATAAGGTAAAGCGGGTGAGTGTTTTTGAATATTTTCATGCATTTTTTCCAGGACAACAAAACATTAGTTATCAAAGGTGTTTGGAATGTCTCTCAGGCTTTTATCCAACAGGTTTACAGGAGAAAGGGGTTTGCATAATAAATGATTCTATGTCAAACCAAGGGGAATTTGAGCATTCATTCACCTACGAGGAGATAATCCTGGCTTGAGTGGATAATATGCAGTATTCTGTATTTGGTAAGCCCCATCCACCTTGCTCCTTTGGAAGCTGTAATATTGCTAATTTAACCTTAGGTTTCCTGCCATTTCAAACAAAGCCTGATATTGCTTTATTTATATTTTTAATATCTTTGTATTTAAGTTTACAAACAACATTGATGTAATATAATATTTTTTTGGAGTACCGTCATCTTGATGAGGTTAGTTCTGCCAAGGAATGATATAGGGAGATTCTTCCATCTAGTTCTTGGACACGTTATTCAAAGGGTTAATATTTTCTGCATATAACATGCATAAAACATTTTGTGTTTTATGAAGTTCGTCCCACTCACTTTTTATAAAGGAGAATAGCGATAACGATGCAGATGATGAAGACCACAGCCAGGACAGGTCCGACCACCCAGATCAGCCCATCGCCTGCATCGAAGGGCTGAGGGTCCGAGTCTGGCGCAATCACCGGGTCTGTGTAAGGGCTGGCCACGTACATCTTCTATAAACACACACAGAAACATAACAGTCAGGAGAATGTGAAAGAAACTGCAGGTTGTTTTTGGTTGACAAGGCAAGGTGATCATGAAAAAAAAAAGGTGTTGCTTAGTATTTTATTTTTTTGTCAGTATTATTTTATCTCAGCGGAGAAAACAGCATGAGCTCCTGACAGTCAATTCCAATTCAGTACAATAATTGGACAAACTATGACCGAGAAAAATAAGCGTAGTAGAATGGCTGCTTGCTTGCAGTTTTTTTTTTTTTTTTTTTTTTCTTGTTGGTGCTGAAAAAGCAAACATCCAAGCACAAAGGTAGTGTTTGTATTATTGCAGAGCTGTTGCACTGTTGTTGCAATAGACTGAAAATACATTTCTGTCATTGTGACCATGACTGATTTTATGAGCGTACAATATGTGTACGAGATTATCTTTGATCTGTCATTTAGGACAACATATAAAGGATCTACCTAAACCGTATTGATGTTCAAACTGTTGCCTGTTTATTAGTTTTGGGGGACTTTTGAAGAGCCTCCCTTGGGGTAACAGTGCTCCTAATATAAAACATGTAATAAAAATAAATAAAATCTAGTCTAATTTAAGTCATATATTTATGTCTATTCCAATTCAAATGCACATACATAGCAGCAGTGCACAAGGCAATATCTCTTCTACTGCCACAGTAGGTACACTCACTCTTTATTAGCGATGGTGATGGAGGTACGCGAAGGTTATTGCCTTTTGCTTACAACACTTTGACTGACGGGAATTTTATTGTTTTAGCAGCGAGGCCATATTGATTACAATGTATAGTGACAGCCTGCAGGAGGGAAACACAGGCGCGGGGGAATGAGGGAGTGGGTTATATACACAGGAAGAGATGTAACACAATGGCGTTGGTACCCCGGTTGTGGAATTCAGCTCTGCCAGGATGAAGAAGACGTACTCCTGCCCCGACTCCAGAGCTCGGTTCTCGAAGCCTCCGTAGTCCAGCTGGTCCCCGAGGGTGAAGAAGGCTGGTAGGGTGGCAGGTGTGAAACGGGCTGTGATGTAAGCCCGACGCAGGTCCACCTGCTTCTGCTGTCGAGAATCCCTCTGTCTTTGACTGATATCTTTTAACAGCTGAGAGATGGAGAGAGAAGAAAGACAGAGAGAGAGAGAGAGAGAGAGAGAGAGAGAGAGGACACCGACAAGAAAAATGAGACGTTGCAATATCTATGACTAATGTTTTAAACGCTGGTATTGAATTAAAAAGGGTAAGCACTGCCAGGAGTTCTTGGAGATGGAATTGTGTGTGTGTGTGTGTTTATAGGTCTTTTCCTGCTTCCAGGCTCAGACATCGGTGGGTGCTGTCATTGTTGCAGCTCTCACCTCCTCTAGGTCCATTTCATCTGGGCTCTTGAGGTGTCTGATGACGCCGCGGGCTCTCCGCAGCGGAACCACAACAACATAAACATTCCTGTGGGAGCAGAGGAGGACAAATAACCTGACGCCAGCTGCACTCATACAATAGCCTCCGACTCATTTCACGTCTCGGTGCCAATTTGTGGCACGACAGACTGTATCTTCAGCATCTAGTCAGTCATGCACAGTTATCATCATCATCATGCCTGTTACAGATTACAATCATATCTTGAGTACAGCGAGTCAGATTAAAGAGCAAAACGAGTGAAATTGTCATCATAAGACATGTCTGTAACAACACCTAAAACTTCGGTCTTACTTGACAGGAGTCCGTGTTTCCAGCGATGGCAAGATGATAGTGACGGTGGTTTCGGTTTCACGGGTGTGGTCAATCTCAGGGCGGCGGACGGTGATGGGTGGGGATGTCTTGGCGGTGATGCGGTGGCGAAGGCCTCCCATGTTGCCCTCAGGTGCAGTGATTTTAAAGTCGTAGCTGGTGTCAGGCTGAAGGTTTGGGATGACTGCCTTCCTCAGGCGAGCGTCCACCTCCATCTTTTGGCGGTTATACTCCACCTGGAGGGAGGGAGAGGGTTGGTAAGGTCAGAATGACAAAATCACAAAACACAGATGCTTATGTATGCCCAGTGTGCGGGTGATAACTGATGGTACTTTAAGGCTATTTTATTTTTCAATATAAAATCTTGGAAACCCTAGATTAAATTTATACGTGTTTAATGGTCAGTTCTCACCATTTGGACATCTGCTTATTTACATTCTTTCAGGAATTACATGAGAAAATGATTAAGTCTTTACTATAATTATGAAGCTATAGCCAAAAGACTGCCAACTTGGCTTCGCATAAAGATGGAAAACTGAGAGAAACAGCTCTTTCCTTCTAACGCTCACTAATTAACAAGATGCATCTCCTTTGTTAAAAGCATACAAAGTATAAAAATGACAAATCATTATTCAACTTGGGGATTATGTGCCAAACTATTTGTTGGCCAGGACCAGTTGCCAAGCAACTAGTGGAAACTCCAGGATGTTGCTGGGCCCAGCCAAGAAATAGTGGGGAATAAAACCCCCCGTAAACCTTGTTTTCTGGATTAAAAAAACGCAAGATACAATGTGTTCATTAGTGAACAGCAGAGGTGATGCTGGGCAGATTTTGTTATTTATAGTAAATGTGCATTTGCGAGTCCATAAAATTTGACATAAAGCCAGCGTCCTGTGGGTGGAACTGGAGGTGTGTTATTCAGGTTGGGGTCAAGCAAGCTAAAAATACAAAACCTCCTATAAAGCCAGGCATTATAATCATAAAACCCCTTCAAACGCTACAGCATCATATGTTGCATCATGTTTCGTGCTACGCCACCGCACGTGTACATGTGCCAGGTGATGACATACAGTAAAGCGGTAGGAGTTGCTGGTCTCTGGAAACTCCCAGGTCAGAAGAACACTGGTCTTAGTGGCCAGGTTGACTGAAAAATTCCTCGGCACATCTGGGAAGCAAACAAACAAACAAAAAGAGAAAAACAGAGTCACTCTCGATGCAGCATTTTAGTCACATTAGCGGATCCTGTGCTTTCCCAGTGCAAACCTGTTAAAAACGTAGAGCGGTCTGATCTGTTACTGGGGGGAAGAATACATGACGATTAGGAGGATGGGCAGGTGACGAGGAGAGTGGATGGCGAGAGTCATAAGTAGAAGTAACAGACAGATCGGCTACAGGAATGTGACATGCCACATTGTCAGAGTGTAAGGTTGTGTTTGTTCAACTCAGAATTCAGCATGTCAGCAGAGGCTTCGGAAAAGGTGGCAGTGAAGGTCTATCAGATAAAAGTGCTTACCTGCAGATACAGCACCAGACGCCAGTTTTCACTTCAAATCAGACTGAACACTTACCTTCTCTTAGATACTGTATATCCAAGCCCTGTATTGACTTTTACCTGAGGGTTTGTGATAAGCAGTGCTCTTGAAGCAAACATCCATTAACATTCAGCCTGCTTCCACTGGTGGTGAAGGGTAGGTGATGAAGGTATAAGTGAGTGAGTGGAGGAGATTGGGGGGAGTAGTTGTGTTCCTCTGGACTTGGCTTTTCTCATCCTCTCTGAGGTGCACTGGTGAAAGGTAGACCTGTAAGAACTGGCCCAGACTTCATTTAGTTTAGTGTTTTGAAGTGAAATCCACTCTAAGGGGAGATGTGAAGTTGAACCAGTGCTTAGAAGCTGAAAGGTTTTCCCCAGCCCTACCTGTTTCCAAGGCCAGGGTGAGGCACACCAGAGGGGGGCTGAAGGGGCCCGGCCCTGCCTTGTTGTGGGCTCTGAGCTGCACCTCGTAGGCTGTGCTGTGATTGAGGCCCAGGATGGTGTAGCTGGACTCACTCGCTGGTAGTGTGATCAGCCATGGGGGAGCAGAGGGGGCTGGTAAGGCGGAAGGGCCCGGGTTAGCAGAGGGTTTGGGGCTTGCAGTCTCCTTGTAAGCTATAGTGTACTCTGTAATGACACCGTTGCACTCTTCTGGGGCAGGGGCCAGCCAGGAGAACTGCAGGGAGCAGCAAGTGGCATTAACGAAGTCAGATATTTTGGGGTATCCCGAGGGTGGAAACATGGGAACTGCTATTTCCTGCTGCACTACATCTCCGTAGCCTGCTCGGCTTTTTGCGGAAAGGACAAACACGTAGGAGGAGCCTGGGGAAAGGTCTCTGACAGTGAAGTTTTTCTCACGATTTGTGAAATCCACTGTGGTGTCTAAAGAGGTATTCTTGAGGCCAAACTGTAGGCGGTAGCCCTGGATTTCCAGCGGGGGCCCCCGGCTATCAGAACCTGACTCAGAGCACTCCAGCGGAGGAGCCCACCGCACCACTACTGATGGACCCGATCCTGGACGCACCCAAAGAGAGGGGGGGCCGGGCACTGCAAATGACAGTGAAGGCAGCAGAAAATCAGTCGTAGTATATAAAAAAACCACATATCACGTAAATCTTAAAGAAGAATTAGAATTGATTTAGCTGTTTATTTACTGCTGTCTCTTGGTGCAGCTTACTGTAAGATCAATGCTTGAGTATGTTACTAAATCCAGTGCACTGAACTGTATACGTGACATATGCTTACCAATCCCAGGGGTCTGCACCAGCCTGGCTTTGCTGTGTGCTCCGTCCCCTTTGGTGGTGTACGCTGCCACGGAGACAGAGTATAAAGTCTCTGCTTTCAAACCTCCCAAAATCAGCTCCTGTGGGAGGAAACACATAATAGCGCTGTCAAATACTGCAAACTCATTCCTTTCAAATTTAGATAATACCCAGATCTGTAAATTCAGTTTTTAACAAATGTGCATCAGTACGAAATTCTACAGAAGTTATACGATGGCTAATAAAAATCTGTGGTGGGTAAATCCAATAAGGATTGTAATGTATTGGCTGCATTGTGCTGTATGTGTTAAAATTGAGTTAATTTGTAATGAGAAGGGGATGGGGGTAGTCTGCACTCACGTATTGAGTCGAGTCATCCTCCTCCATCTTATCCCACACACAAGACACACCCCGCAGGCAGCCGAGACAAATGAGAGACAGAGTGAGTCAAAGGACCAAAGGGGAAAGGGAGGATGTTTAGGAGTGTAATAAATGAACAACATTTAATCATTTCAATATTCAGTTATAATGTCACCTGAGACTCATCCAATAAGAGGTCTTTGATCCGGGGAAGGTTGCGTGATTCACCGTTCTCTGCACGGCTGAAATGCACCTGGTAGCCGCGGACCTGGCCTTGCCGTAACCGTGGCAACACCGACCGCCATGTGACTCGAAGTGCTGAGGAGTTGAGTGGCTGGACGTCCACCTGACGAGGGGCTGCGCCGGGAACTGAACACACACACACACACACACACACACACACACACACACACACGTACAAATGCAGAATTAATTAAGTGACCAAATGTCTAGCCAGTAAATGATCAACCTAACAATCAATACCGTTTAGGTCTGATCCATGGCTTCACTCTTACCGTCCTCATCTGTTCTGCAGAGCACAGCTGGGCTGCCGGGTCCAGTCCCCTCAGCAGTGGAGGCTGCCATGGTGATGTTGTACCAGCTCCACTTCTCCAGCCCCTCTACCAAAGTCTGCCCTTGCTGGGCTGCGATAGGAAGCCCTTTTGCCTCCAGGCCCTGACCTCCGCCTCCTGCCCCAGAAACTCTCTGGTATCTCAGCTCATAACCTGCCAACTCGCCATTCTGGCCCTCTCTTGGAGGTGGCCTCCAACTTACTCTCAGCGAGGTGGAGCTGGCACTCTCGCAGGACACACCCTCTGGTGGAGCTGAGGGCTCTGATTGGACAAGGGGCAAGGAGGGCAATCGGCAAAGAGTTTAGGAGAGACCAAAGAGAACAGGATTGAAAAAGCAAGAGAGGGGGAAAATACCAGTGAAAGGATAGGAGATAAGGATAAAAAAAAGAGGAAACAATAAGAAACTAAGGTAAAATGAACTGAAAGAGATGACACTGGGACAAGTATGATTCAGGCAAAAAAAGGGAGCAAGTGTATAATGTAAAAGCATAATGTTAGGCTTAGAGCCTAATGAAATAAACCAGAGACAAGAGTATCGACCCTGAGTGGACAACTTAATTATACCCAAGGAGAATGTGCATCCGATAGCCAATGATTATTTTATCCTCTGGCTGTGCTAGTGGCATAAAAGAATCCAGATTTATGAATGAAAAACAGATAAAGTCCGTGTTTCTTTGTAAAGCAGGGATGCACAGCTCACCGCACAGGAGTACAGACAAATATATACATTTCACAACACCAGCGCTCGTGGAGGCATAATCCTTGAGTCCTCGGGATAATAGAGCGGTGTGAGATTTTCCACTGCTGACTAGTGGAAGGTCTCGGGCTTCACAGTAGGAAGATAAAACAAACTAAAAGAGATCTCACACAGTGCCGAAAGGATTTAGGAGGCAGGTATAAAAAAACAAAAAAAAAACAAAAACAGGGTTCTCGGGAACGAAAGGCACTCCAACGGATATTGAAAGTCGGGCTAGAATGATGAACTGCAGACATGCACTGAATCAGTTGTAGAATTTACTGTGACAGACATGAATATAGAAAAAGACACACACCTTCATCGCCACAGATGTCGCCCACCCTATATAATGTCATCTAAGTAACGCACACACACAAAGGCCAGTATGGCCGAGCCGTCCGGGCTTGTGTTTGAGCTCGCCAGTGTATAGCATGTGTGTATGTGTGGGAGTGTAATAGTCATAGCTGACAGGTTCAAGTATCTATCCACTCAGCCGTACAGCCACTGTTCTGTTGGCCTCGGGGGACAATCTAGATGTGCACCAAAGCTTGGCGATAACAAAGCGCACATAACCTCCCTGGGAAATGAATTCTGCTGCATGAAATAGTCTGCTTATCTAGCACCTTCCCCTTCCTGAATGCCCCACTCCACCGGTATACCACCTTTGTCCCTCTTTCTTTTTGGAGGTAAAGAGTGAAAGGACACCAAACTAAAAGCATTTAGCGTATTTTAAACTCTACTCTGCTAAGTGATTGGAAATACTTGACAAAAACTTACCAGAAACACACCGCACCGTGAGCTGCAGGACTTTTTCACGACCACAACTACTTTATTAATTCTTTTCCTTGTATCATTTTCTCTGTTATCACTTTTTTTTTTTTTCTCTTTCTCGGGAGCAGATATGAAATGACTTGATATGCCAGAGCAAAATAGAGGAACTTATTCGGCTCTTATCGGCTATCAGTGATTGTGCAGAGAAAAAAAAAAAGAGAGAAAAGGAGACAAGGGAGAGAATCCAAGTTGAGTTTGGATAAAATACAGACTGGCCAGCACTTACCTGTCAACAGAGCAGGCAAACCAGCATCCTCTAATGCTCCTCACCACTGGCTGCTAGCCAATAAGTGGCAGACAGTTTCACCCTTTCAAAGACATTAGACACTGATAGAGTGGAAAAAGTGAAAGGAGGGTGAAGAAAAGGAAGAGTGAAACATTAATCGGTGCTCCATCTCCATCTGTCATGATGTTTTGGCTGTGCAAGAAAGAGAGAGGCTGAGCGGGGGAAGAAAGGCACAGTCAAATGTAGATGGATGGATGGGAGGGGGGGTTGGACAGATGGGTTGATAAACGAGACACACGGAGGGATGGTTCCCGGCGTTTACCAGGTCAGGAGCTGCGGACAACGTACTGCTACGAGCTGTGTTTGTGTGTGTGTGTGAGGTTAAAATATTTGCATGACATTTTCAGGACAAGGGTGAAATATCATACTAATAAAATGTGTGGCATCTGCACGTGTGTGTGTGTGTGTGTGTGTGCAGGTAGAGTTTGTGAACCCAGTTGAACTGAGACGTACTGGCTTGTGACGTCCTCTGCACCAGTTCATTAGTGAAAGCTCCGATGCCTTTGTTTGAGATGGCGGCCAGAGAGAAGGAGTACTCAGTGTTCGCTTTCAGGCCCTCCACGTTGTACGAATTCCTCGGCCCGAAGGTCAGCTTCTCCTACGAGAGAGAAGAAGAAAGAGGAGCAGAGGACAAGGGAAGTGAGGTGACAAGAAGGAGGATGAGAGGAGTCAAAAAAGGAAAAAAAAAAGGACACATTAAAGAGGAGTCGGAGAGAGAGGCAGATGAGACTGACAGCACTGGAGCTGGACGCCGGGGTTAATCTTTTAAACTTCGTCTTTTATCTCTCCCCTCTTATACCTCTGTCTTGTTAGGAAATCCACTCAGCAGACAGATTTATATAAAAAAAAGAGTGTTAGAGGTCTTACCAAACTGCCAAACTTGACAGGTTTGTAGAGCAGCTCATAGTTGACAATTTTCTCCTTGGTGTAGGCAGGTTCCCAGGTCAGTTCAATGCTGGTGTCTGTCACCCTACCGACTTTAAACTTGCCTGGTTGGCCAGGGACTGAAGGGAACCGGACAAAACACAGCCAATCAGCACTTATATATATATGTTTGTTTGTCAGAAAATGTGCTTTGTCCTATAAATGAGATTTTACAGAAACATACAATCAGAATTTTTTTTTCTGTAAATTGGGAATACATCACTTCTGGAAGCTGACTTCTACAGAAAGGCCTTTATAATTCCCATATCGACTATGTATACTAAGTGCTAAATAAATTAGGTGTATAACATTATTTAAATACATACCATAAGAATAGAAATTATGTTGAAAAGAAATGCCACACTTAATCAAATCTAAAAAAAAAAAAGACGTCTCTGCAGAATAAGCCAGGACTGTTTAATTTTAGAGAAAGGTTTGAAATCAGTTTTGTAATTTTTTCAGGGGCTATGCAGTCAGAATTATTTTATATTATCTTATTCTAGCAAACTCCCATAGCAGACGCCTCCTGACCCATAAATCTCCAAACCCCTTGTAATAACTTGTATTTTCATACATTTTCTCCATCCTCAATGTGCTGGAAAATGTTTTTAGAGACTAATGGCAGCAGCAGTAGCTCAAGCTGCAGAGAAAATTTAAACCAGTAATACCATCACAGATTTTCAGTTGTCATATCTTTGTACCTCCCATCATATAAAACCAGCAGCTTCGCAGCAGCTGTCACGGTGACACGATCAGCGCCGAGGTACGAGGGACGTTTTTGGCTGCTAATCCCTGTTTCCTTTTCGTAAATCTCCACAGTCCTGTCCCAGCTGGTAGAATTTATTCATTTTGAAGAAGTCATAATTTCTGACAGGTCAAGCTTACTCAAACTTTACATAAGCCACTTGACGAAGGGAGTGAGCAGTCTGTATACATGCACAAACACAAATAATTACTCATTTGTGCTCTGCTGCACATGTGCATCTGAAAAACAACCATTACTCACCAGCACATGAATAAAAGAAGATGCCTACTTAGCTGTTATCTATGCACTAGCATGCAGGGCGAAATTACTCTCCTGCACAAACATCAACCAACGATTATGTTTATGCGTGCACACACGGCTAACCTCCACGAATGACTTTAACGTGGACGGGGTCTGAGAAGGGTCCGTCCCCGACAGAGGTGAAGGCGAGGACCTGGATGGTGTAGGTCTCTGAGGTGACGAGGTTCTGGATGGTGGTGATCACGCTGTCCTGGACGTTGTGGATCTGCCACTCATTCATGGGCCTGGACGGGTCCATGGTGTAGTACACCCGATAGCCTTTCACCTACAAAGACACAGAGTGTGAGAGGAAGGAACGAAAACAGTTGACTTTTCTCGATTGAGACTGAATGTTAAGGCCATCAGGGACTGGACTGCATCATGTGGTCGCGCACCTAATCCCACTGTCCCGCACCCATAGTAATAATAATCCATAATACCGTCTTTCAACACAATGAGAGTTTATGACAGCCAAGGTCATCATCTATGAATTATTATTTTACTTCAGTCCAGATGGTCCGCTGGATTTGTTGGTTTAATGTCTGTTAGAGGTCACTTGTCATGTGATGTTATGCGTCTGACCCTGATAAACAAACCTCACTTTAAAGTTGACTAAATCAGTTTAGTACAAGCTGTGGATGTCCTCAGATTGTAGCATTTAAAATGTAATCACTACACCTCTCCCTATGGGGTTTTTAGTAATGGGTATGTTGGAGTATATGTAATCCTTGTGCCATGCCATCGCCTTTACTCCCCCCCCTTTGCTCTCCCACTTCTCCTGTTATTACTCTTTAATATCTATAATCCCCATATGTACTCAATTCACCCTTGTACTTTTATGAACCTACAGCGCAGTTAGGTAGGTTTGAAAAAAAAAAAAAAAAAAAAAAGGAAGTAGGCCTCAAGAGGGAGGGCTCTCAACTTAGAGCGGACAGTCCAATTACCCTTTCCTTCTTTAGAGAGTGGGGAAAGCAGCAAGGGAGTTACAGGACAGAAATCTCTGGCAAGACACAATCCCTGCAAAGGACACGAACCCGCACTCTGGAAAAAAGCTCCCAATGGTAAATTTTATGAAGTCTTTATCGTTTTAACCTCAAATGGTGTGCAATTTTGAAATGCCGTCGCTTCGTAGTCATAGTGAATCTTCTTATATTACCTTTACAGCACAGTGTCACTATGAACATTATATAAATAGGAGAAGAAAAAAAAAACTGAAATAAAGAATGAATGAATCTAACCTGTTTCCTCGCAGACTTAAGTTGAGCGATGGCAGAGGATATGAAAGAGTTTTTGTATCTGCTGGTTCTGGCTACTGGGACTCTGAAACTCTGGATGTAGCTGTCACACTGAATAAACTCTGCTTTATTTAACAACTTTGTGTTCTATTCAAAGCAGAAGAGCTTTCCTGTTAGGTATTTGTGGTTTTGTTGCAGGCATTTGCCACGCTATTCAGAACTTTTTGTTGTTGTTAGATACCAGAAGAAGAATACAAACAGATAAAGAAATGGAAAATGTTTTGACGATGAAAAACTTCAATCTTGATCCCACCTGTCCATTGGGCTCCTCTGGTTCCTCCCAGCGGACCATCACAGTGTTCTCAGAGATAATGTGGGCCTGAACGTTTCGCGGAGGGCTGGCGGGGGCTTGCTCTCCCGTGCGAGCCTCCACGCGGGTCGACGGCGGGCCCTGGCCAATGCTGTTGAAGGCCGACACTCGGATCTCGTACTCGGTGTTGGGGTACAGCCCGCCGATGCTGTAGCGGGTGGTGGTGATGCTGTCCACCGTCTCGTACTTGCTCTCAGGCCCTTTAGCGCGGTACTGGATGATGTAGTAGGAGACGGGGTCGGGATTGCCAGAGTCCCAGGTGATGGTCACGCTGGTGGCGGTGGTCTCCGTGACGATGGGTGTGCCGGGAGGCTTTGGTAAAGCTGCGGGTTAGACAGACAGAAGATAAACAGAATTATAGTATTTACAATATAATGTCCTGTTGGATTCTCTCAATACTATAATTCCTTTGACATATCAGATTGCTTTTTGTTGTACTCTCCATTTTGGATATTGCTTTGTTTGTTTATGACATACTTCAGCTAAATCCATTCTTAATCACTGTCACTGTAGATTATTGTTTATTGTGTACATTTGTTTATCCCAATGTAAATCTAGATGCACTTTTACTGCACCATCTGGCTAAACTGAATTTTGATTTACTGCTACTTGCTGTGTGCAATGGCAAAAAAATGTTTCATTTTAAACAATTTAATAACTAATTGGAGTATACACTGTTTGATTAACTTGGCAGACGGTTTTGTGTCAGAGCGACTTAGAATAAGTTATATGGTATATGAAGTGGCTGCTGTGCATCAATGATAAACTCACAGGGAAGAGAGTTGCCTGAATCATACTTAATATGTGGGAAAGCAAATTGGCTTGAGTAACACCAAATGTAAGTTGACACATGTACTTGAAAATTCAAAGAAAGCCCAGTGTATCTTTCCTTTTACACCTTCTCCGAGAGGCTAAAATGAAAAATCATCACGATAAAGAAGATATCTGAGGCTCTTACTCTTGACTAACACCTGAGCCGTGGCCTCAATGATACCCAGGCTACTCATGGCCACACAGGTGTAGTTTGCAGACTCCCGGACACCATTTAGCTCGAGCACGTTCCGTCCAATCGGCATTTCATCCTCAGGGGTCAGGTCCTCGTTGCCGAGCATCCACTTGACGTAAGGCATGGGCGAACCCACGGCCACGCAGGTGATGTTGACGCTCCCTCCCGGCATGATCTCGTGGTTGGAGGGGAGGATGGAGAAACGAGGGGGCACACGGCGCACTGGGAAAGGAGGAGAGTCGGGGGTAGAAAGGAAGGGGGAGGATGTGGGGTTTAAAGGGGGTGAGGTAAGGGGAAGAGAAAAGTGGGGAAAGGGAGTGAGGAGAAGAAAAAGGTGGAGGAGAAAGAAGGAAGGGAGGAGGAGGAGAGGGGAGGGAGTAAGGGGGGAGAGAATGAGAGAGAAAGAACGAGGCAGAGAGCGAGGTCGAGGTCGAGAGAGAAAGCGAGGGCGAGAAAGATAAAAAGGAAGAAAAAGAGAGAGAAAGAGAGGAGAGGTAACAGGAAGGGGGAGAATGAACTTCAGGGTTTTTACAGAAAATTACAAAGGGATATTTCAAGTTTAGTCCCAATTACTTTATGGTACTGATGATTCCAACAGAAAGACACAAATCTTGTGTTGAGCTCAACCATTCAGAGTGAGCTGCCTACTCAAAATAATAACGTGACAAACTCTTGAGTATCAGTTCAACCAGGACATGACACCTATAGTTAGTTTCTCTTATTTAAAAACACACTTTTTTTTTTTCCCTTATTGGTTATAAATTTAACCCCCCCCCCCAAGAAAATAAAAAATCAGGTTGTGCTGCTTTTACATTACCACCTAGTGACTAGTGACTAAGAATGTTAAACTTTACCAGAAACTTCAGAGCGAAACTTTACTTCATTGAGATTCCTGTGCCTTGAGGTGCTTGTGCAGTAGATGCGCTCTTTTTTAGAGAGAGCGTATGCATCATGGGGGCCGATCAATAGGCCCTGCCTGCTATTTGTGTCCCCATGAGAAGAACAAGCAAAGTGGCAAGTTATATCCAATACTGCATCTGTCAGAGCTTGTTTGACTACTTATTATTGAGAGATGCATCGAGAGACTGAACTCATAGGTCACTTGCATGCCTGGGCGACTCAAGAGGGATAAAAATGGTGGAGAAACACAAAGAAGAGAACGAAGAACTGAAGACTTAGAGGGAGACAGAGAGAAGCGAGACACTGGAGAGAAAGGTAGAGGAAGAGTCAGAGAGAGCGAGCAGAGGCAGGAAGAAGAAAGAAAGAAGGAAAGGTAGAAAGAAAGCCAGAGAGAGAGAGAGAGAGAGAGAGAGTGAGGCAGCTCTGCTTCTCTTCCAGACAATGAAAGGCAATGTAGCAAAGGACAGCCACATTGTACAACAAGATACTGTACAATACATAGGATTCATAACTGATACAGTGTGTAGTCAAATGAATTGAAAATGTGGACAGGAGTGGATCAAGGGTTCTAAAAAGGTGTCGTGGCAATTACAGAGTGATCATTGGACACAGTAAGTAAAGAACACCAAGACAGCATGAAAGAGGCAGAACGGGAAAGAACGAGTGCGAGCAAAAAAGAGAGATATGTGAGGTAGTATGTGCATGTTTATAAGTTAATAAACTTATGTACATGTGTCTGTCGCTCCTACACATCAGGGTGCAGACAGAATGCAGAAGAAGAAGAGAAAAAGGGGAAGGGAAAGGAGGGGAAAAGACAGGGGGAGTGGAGATAAAGAGAGGATTAGAAGAGGGTTTCGCGGGGAAGGAGGGAAAAGGGGGAAGAAAAGAGGAGCGAGGAAGAAGAAAACACATGGATCTATTTAAAAACACGGCTATATACCAGAGTCAGGCCCATTCAGAAAGTAGGTGCTTCAAAAGTAAGAAAAGAAGAAGAAGAAGAAGAAGAGAAAAAAAAAGAGACTCGTAGAGATCGGATGTTGAAGGAACAGAGAAGAAGAGGATACCCGAGGGTCACAACACAGGAAACAGAGAGAGACAGAGAGAGTGACGGACAAACATCTCCGGATGAAAGGAGAGAATGAAAGGGAAGGCAGACAAAGAGCAGAAACATTGTCGAAAAACTCAGCTAAACTCCACACTAGGTATATGTGTCAGAAAAAACTGTATAAAACAACAAATGCCCTAAAAACAGACAATTACAAGGCTACAAATTAAAAGATTAAAATAAAGTCACTGTAAAGTCCTAAAGTAGCAAAACATGGAGCTTTCTTTGGATGGCTGCAAATCCAGAAATATTTTTAGTATATATATATATATATATATATATATATATATATATATATATATATATAGTCATATATATATAAAAGAAAAAGTAAAATTAAATTAAAAAAAAAAGGAATACATAAATATTGTTAAATCTGCTGCATAACCTCCACTCCTTAATGAGTAACATCATTACTTGGAATCTTCGCGGGCCACATCCCCCTACTCAGAGAATCACAATTGGATAGAAGTTAACATTTTTGCATGACTTCAACAAATGAAAAAAAAGGAAAAAAAAAAAAAAAAGAAATAGTTGCCGTGACGTCACTATCATTGCATGAATAACAGATAAAAATTCAAAGCATTTGGAATACTTGTGGGAAATAAAAAAACACAACAAAACAAAACGGGAAAAAAGGAAAATACCCAGAATTGGATACAGAAGTTGAAGACAAGAAAGAGACAAAGAGACAAAAACAGGTAGATCTGTTAGAAAACAGACATGATTAGGCAGGCATCTCCTCATCTGAGCATGCTGGAGACAGACAGACAGAGAGACAGACAGACAGAGAGACTGCATCCATGACAGCTCCATGCAGAGGACAGACAAAGCAGGTGCAATGCAGCATGACGAAAAAAAGTATCATTAAAGCGGTTATTTACCTATCAATAAAGCAAAAAAAAAAAAAAAAGAAAAAGAAAAGACAATTAATTAAGCGTATGGATTAATTTGGTAACATGAGCAACAAACAGGATGAAGGTGAAGACTCAAGATGACTGTTGTGTAATCTGAAACGTGAATCGAGTGTTTCTAAAAGTATCAGAGACGAACGACTGAAGGATCCACCGCAGAGACATAGGTGAGCACTTTAAAATGAAGCAAGCTCATAACAAGGGATAATCCTTCACATGCTCGCGGAGCCTCTAGCTTAAAGTTAATCGAGCCGGGCCGCATGATTCTCCTCCATTTTCTATACAGTTTGTAAGAGCCGGGAGCTTCAATCTTTATAAGTGGAGCTATCATTAGTCCTGTCCTCTGCAGGGAGTCTGGAGGCTACAGGCTGGGGAGACCTTGGCACAGCCTTAAGGATTACCGCTGCATCCGAGCGCCGCTATACAGCTGACATTTACTCAGCACCATCCCTGTCTGCCTCAAGGACACGGCTTTCATTAACCACTGCAATAAGTGGGAATCATTAATATCCCCTCAATATCTAGAAATGAGAATGGATATGATTAATTTCAAATGTCAGTCAACAGAGGCGTGTCAGAGTGTTCGGCAGAGATAGCAACAGTCGAGCAAAGTCTGACACGCCTCAGACTGTATTACACTAAAGTTGGCGTATTACACCAGGAAATATACCGACAGCTGAGGATTGGTATGAATCTTGATGATGTGCAGTGATGGAAAAAGTATGCAGATCCTTTGCTTAACCCTGTGAAGCCCGAATAGTTTTGGCTCCTGTTATATTGGGCTCATTTTTTACTGCAGTATCAAGTCCTGCACCTCTATGGAAACAGAACAACTATGGCTGGAAGGAGAGAGTGTGTCTTTTCTATAGTCTGACAAAATTATAATGTCATAAAAAGAGAAAAAACTAAATTGAAAGTTAAATATTCATATTACAAAAATTGGAAAAAACTGGAATCAACATGTGGAACATTTATCGACGTGCCCAAAGGTGTTACTAATGCTGGAGAAATGGTGAGTCTACAAACTGTAGATATTTTACTGGGTACAGTTTTATCACCACTTTTCACACCACTGCACACATCAACTCTAGAAAGATATTTCTCCAAACTAGTTTCCAAAAAACTTGCTTCAGTGCATACTGTTTTTGAGCCTTACTGCATTTAGCTCACTGATCAAGTATTCTTTATTTTCCGCTGTAATTTGTTTCCGTACTTTTCCTGCAGTTCAAGCAAAAAGTCTCTGAATTTTCATCACCTGACTGTTAGTTGCAACTGAGTGAGTCATGACTTTTTAAAATTTATTTTTAAAAAAATCTTTTACAGAATTTGTTTATTTTTGTAGATTTTTTTTAAATGACACATGTAGAATAAAGTAATTTTGATTTTTAAAAAAATCTCAGTTTTAAGCTTAGATCTGTTAATTTTCCTGACACCATCTCAGATGAATATTTCAGTGATTGTCTAAATATCAAAAAACAGGATTCTTTCAGATTTTTCTGATGAATCATTTGCATTTCTACATTTTTTTTTTTTTTTAAAGATACAATGCCTTTCAAAACTGCAAGCAGGTTTTGGGGTTCAGAGGGTTAAGTTAAAGTCTAAAAACATCCCATCACAACTAAACGTTCTGCATTAGTACAAATAAAGGTATGCGATTAAGTTTAGAAAAACTATTTAAGTTGAGAATATGTGGATTTTCCTGATCTGGCCACGAGTGTATTGGGGAAAAAAAGCAATGGTGAATTCTTTTGTATAACTAACAAAACTTTATTAAAAGGACACAGTCTAATTTTCAAAGTCTCAAATTGTAAATACAGATTATATTATTGGATAATTACTGCAAATGCATTTATGTGTACGTATGATTAGTAATTGCTCCACATTTAGCCAACTTTAAGTTCATAGTACAGTGTAGTTTAGTCATGTACTATCATATTGGGAAATATGTATGTAAAATCCTACGTGTACAAGTACCTCTAAACAGTAGAGGCATAGTAGTACTACAACCTTGTGAGCTAAGTTAAATTTCTACACAAGTACAGTAGTGTGAGGTCAGCTGATCATTCTCTTCCCATCTTGAGTTTATGCCATGAATTCTGCTCGGTAGGTGATGCTTCTCCCACAAACCAAACATTTAACTTTAGAACAAAGGGGGCATGTACAAGCATGAGTGCGAGCGCGAGGTTTCCACTCAGTGCAACAAGTGCAGAATTGGTGCAAGATGTGATGACATGGGAGCAGGGACACTGTGATGCACAAGATGATTCAAAACGGGGGGAAAAAAAAGAAGCAGCAGCATGACATGACAAGACAGCAAGTTCAATAATATCACAATCCCAGCATATCAATAGGCGTGAACACACACTGTGCCATGCTCTCGTGTCAGTCCGTCAGTCAACAGACATGCAAGCGGTGCTCCTTTCTCTTTCTCTCTCACTCCTTCCATGCAAACATTGCCTCTTTTTAATCTTCCAATTCTTGGGTCTCCATGACAACAAGATCATACCATGCAGAAAACATTGATCGGGGAGTGAAGGCAATACCAAGGGTTCTGCACACAAGGCCTCACAATGCAGTCAATGCACTCTGCTGCGTAGGCAGACCACTTCATCATCGTAGCAGCTTTACTCTCTTCATTTTGGATACAGATTTTAATCATTTCACTTCAAATCTACTGCGGCGTCCTTTAAATGTTTTTTTTTTTTTTTTTTTTTTTCTGTTTTGTTTCCCTCTGTTTCAATAAGTGAATCTTTCTGAAACAAAGGAGTAACAAAAGAAAAGAAAGAGCGCACCAACCTTCTCGAAGCTCTGAGGGATGGAAGGGGGTTGATGCAGAACACAATGACGTGAGGGGGAAGAGAGAGAACGGGGAAACACAGAGAGAATAAAAACGGCCAGCGCAAAGCCACTCGCTTCACCGTGCGCACACACACACGCGCACACACACACACACGCACGCACGCACCTCGCACGCGCACACCCACGCAAACACACATACCTCACACACACTTCTCTGTTATCCCACGTAACATAGAAACTAGAACTTGTAAATATGAACATTGGTTGTGGTCTTTCAGCCATAAGCCAGAGATACACCGGCACCCACAGATGGAGATTCAATTAAAAAGGGATCATGTGAGTGCGCGGTGATGCCATTAATATAAAAATTGTAGTAAAGCCAAAATGATTTCCTTGATTAATGCATCCAATTTCATTCAAATCTTTAATCAGATCAAAACATTGTCTTTTTAATCTGCCTCTAGTACAGAAACCACTTTAGTAGACAGATCAGTGATGTTTCCATGCAGTTAAACCGAGGTGTGCTCCCAACTTTATGCTCAGATTCTTTTGATTCTGCTGCGGGAGCTCGCACCACGGTTTAAGGTGGACTTGTTAAAGGTGGTTGTGAGAAATACCAAACAACAGGGTCAACATATATTGTAGACAATGGATGGGTTAGTAATACTTGTATAAGAGCACAGTAATGGAAAAGAGGTAGCTTTATTAATAATACCAACAGCACCTTTATAGTCGTGATTTCTGTGTGTTTGTTTTCCTGTGCATGTGTGCGCATATGCACGTGTGTTGTGCGTTCAGGTCCTACCTCGCACGTATAGGTTTGCGGGAGAGGAGTAGCGCACGCCTTGAGAGTTGGTGGCCACACACTCGTACTTCCCTTGGTCTGTTTCCTCGCTGTTCTCGATCTGTAATGCTCCTGCGAGAGAAAAAAAAAAAGAGGGAGATATTTGGTTGAGAAAAAAAAAAATGCTGCTGTACGCCTTCCTTTACATCCTGTCCTTTTCATCCTGAGACATCCATCTGTTGTTCTATTTTTGTAACAGTTTGACTCGTCCTCGTCTAGTGCTTCAACATCCAACGGGCCCCACTTTCATTTACAATAAGTTGCATTTTTCCAAAAAAGAATTGTTTTTTTTTTTCTTCTCCAGCCATTCCTCTAAAAATGTTAAAAAAGAAACAGCAGCAACATGTTCAAAATTCAGATATTCCTTCCTTGCAAAAAGTTTGGAAGCCAAAAACAAGTCTCAAAATGACTTTTTATAAACTTAGCTGACACTTAAAGGGCCTTTAGTTGTATACGTCTGTACCAGCTAGTGATTCCTCTCCTGCAGCAGGCATACCTCTGCCATGAAGAAAGCCTGTTTCTATCTTGGCAGTTAACTGGCAGCAGCAACACAGCTTTTACCCTACGGCAACGACCCAATGATGCTCTTTAGCTCTTTTACTTCCTCAATTTTTATCCTCCTACCCTGCTCCCGCCGTGATAAACAGTGTCTCCCTAAACGTACTATAATTACACACAGCACTCGTCAGGTGCTCTTTGTTTCACGGTGCTATTCTTACAGCTATGTTTTTTTGCTAACGGCCTTTTGAATTACCAGCAGAGATGTTATTTTTTTTTGTTGTTGGTTTTTTTTTTGGGTTTTTTTTTTTTTTTTTTTCCCTCTTTCAGTCTGCTCTGTCACATTCATCTCATCTGAAACTGACTTTGACATGGAGCCTGAGGAGGAAGCACAATACCATGCATTACTCTCTGCTGCATTGCACAGGGAGGAAAAAAAAAAGACACAATTCAAGACGCACACGACATACACACTTTATAAAGGAGGGACACGTACGCACGAGTGTGTTGATAGTCGAGTGTGCACGCACATACATACACACAAAGCAAGTTAAAGTCTCAGACAAAGCACTATGCTTTATATCAGATCTTCTGTGAGGCTGATAAAAGGCATCTGGCTTGTATGTGATGTAGAGAGATATATAGAAGAACAAGATATAGTATGCTGTGCTCGTACGCAGGGTTTTCACATATGCAGACACATTATTGCAGAGGAAATGTTCAGGTTCATAAGTAAAAGCAGCAATACCATAATGTGAAAGCACTCATAAATATGAGCAGCGATATCACATGCATGTAAAACAGTTAAGCAGAATGATTTCTTTGTAGAAACAGTAACATTATACGACTATATAAACAATATGTGTCCATTAAATTGTGTGACGTATGTTGCATCTAGTTGAGGGAGGCTTGTTTTATCTATGTTTACCACAAACCATTTGTCACTTCAGGTAATCTGACCTTTTAACTGGTTTATGTGGTCAAGTTATATATACACATATCTAAAACCCTAACTCATACTGGACAATACACCCTCTAACACTGAACCCGTAGAGGAAAAATCCTTTTGTAAGATTATTTTTGGGCCTTTTTTTTTTTGCCTTTAGATAGCAACAGAAAAGGGAGCGAGAGGAGGGATGACATGCAGCACGGAGTTTTCATTGAACCCAGACCACTGCAGTAAGGATTCAGCCTTGATAAATGGTGTACCCACTCTACCAGGTGAGCTACCGAGGAGCCCCCTGCAAAAGCCCTTTAATGGGGGAACAAAAAGGAAAAGGAAAAACCTCAGCATCTGCAACAGAGGAAGGATGTGTTTTATAACCGACAAACACGCAGACAGAAATGCAGGCAGAGGAAGCAATACAAGACACAGTGACATAATATAAGACAAAAGTTGGCGGATGTCTAAGAGCTGCTTTGAAGCAACTGCTACACTTTTAGATGGCAGAATTTATATAAATGCATAATCTTTACAAAATAATCCAACAATCTAAATTTTTTCATTTCCAAAGTAAGTGCAACTGTCAACAAAGCAGTGGAATAAAAAATATTATATTTAAAATATAGTGTAGCAATATTCAGAGGAGCAGAGGCGTAAGGAAATTCTCAAGAATGTTGTATTCATATATGAATAGTTGAGTCTATGCACGTTGAAATTATTCTCCATCGCTGCATAAACCCAGACACTAACAGATAGTTTTTGTGTCTCTGAGTGTAAGTGCATCTCAGATAGTCACACACACAATGGCTGATCAGTGTGAAGAAATATAAACACTATGCTGTTCGGGGCTCAAAAGAGGGAAAGTTTAACTTGTTGCTCTCTGCTGGGGGCACGAGGATGTGTTTAGTGAGCGGGGGCGCTGCCAGCTGAAGCTGTCATCCACTCGCTTCTGTTTTCTGTAGTTACATGAAAGGAAAACAGCTCGTGTCCTCCTCTTTCTCCCTACTTTCCATCTCTCATTTCCCTGTGGTGCAGGGCAGAGTTGGGAAATAAACAGGAATAAATTATCTGCTCGACAAGCGAAGTCTCTTCTCCAGAAAGCGGTGAGACACAGAAGGAGAAAGCGAGAGAAAGACGGTGGTGGAGGAGAGGTGGAGCTGGACAGGTGGAGCTCTGCAAACAAGAACTCATCTGACAGCTGGAAGCAGCTCATATGGCTAACCATCAGCACAAATTTGAAATCGGGAGTTGAAATCTTTTATGCAAAACACGTCATTACCAAACATGGAGAAAGACAGGTGTTCAGTATATATACACACAGAAAGGTCAGCAGTCGCATAAATAAACACACAGTGTAGACAGAAAACTGGCAACAAACCAACATAATGAAAGTCAGCGCGGAAAAGCAGGGCGAAACGCTGCAAAAAAAAGAAAAAAAAGAAAAAGCAAAAGAACAGAGGGAGAGCAGTTTGTTAGTCGGTGTGGAAACTGCTGACAGACTCAGAATGAGATGTGACTTAAGTAAATTGAGCTGCTGCGAAATCGCGGATGGTGTATAATGTCTGCTGGACTGAGACTCAGCTGATCAGATGACAACAGATAGCGCTAACCCGATAGCTCTGCTGGAACATCTGGGTCAAACAGATCACCTGGACTCCAGTCTCCCACGAGCTGGGACGCTCGTTTAACTTGAGGCCAGACATTACCAGCAATCAAGACGGACTGTCGATATTTTGAACTTAATACTTTTAGGAATAAATTGCTTGAATGACAAAAGTTCCAGAACTCTTTTCATATTAGTAATATTTGAACTATTTGCTTCATTTTTTCTGGGATGCGACACTACTAAAACACTAAACTGAAAGGTTTTTAAAGAAAGGATGAATGCATATTGATTTTGAACTGCAGCTGACAAATTGATTAGTCGCTTCGCAGATAGTGAATCAGCAAAAACGTTGCAATTAAGTGATCACTCTTTGAAGCAGAAATGCCCAAAACACACTGGTCCTGATTTATTTGCTGCTTTTCTTATATGTTTCTTCCTTTTTGTACATTTTCATGATGTGATTATAACACAAAAAAAATCATCTCAAACTGTCATCCTTCACCGGTTCTTTGCAGATTTTCACATTTTTATTTTTTAATTCTAAAAACATGATCTATAAAAGGATTTCTCTTTCTCGCTATTTTTTTTTATTTATTTACTTATTTTTTAAATGGATCTTCACCAAAAACTACTCATTTGTTTTTCTTGGCCAATGTCCTAATTTCCTACCAAATTCCCTTGAAATCTGTTTTTGAGATTTCCTGCTGACTAACAGCCAGACAAGCTAACAAATATACCAAACATAATCTCCGTGAAAACAGTATTTAATGATGCAAGACGTAACATTTGGGTCAGCCCTGATGAGAGAACTCACCTTCCAAAAAAAAATGTATTTATCATTTATTTTGGATGCTGCCTGTGAAAAGTAAATATCTGTTGTCTTCAATTTTGAAAAACTGTTCTTCTATGTTAACAGATAAAAACTGACCTAAACCGTGACCATAATCATAACCTCTGATCAGATCAGGGTTCTCAGCAAAGACAGGTCCATCCATTACGCAGCAGTCAACCTCAGGGTCCATATTGCATGCCATCTGTTACTATGGGTTTATGGAGGCTGTTAAGTGCCTAGGTAAACTCTCCAGATCTCACTCCCAAATGTCAGAAATAGACAGATAGCTTGTCATGGCTCTCCTCACGCACATCTAAACTGGTGCAGCAGATGGCATGGAAAAATAGGTGGATGCCTTGGTTGAGGTATAAAGATGTCAGGAAAAGTTCATCCCTACACTGCACCATATGTTTCTGTCCCCGGGAACGGATGAAGCGCTCGTGTGCAGGTCTGAGATGTGTAAACAACGTGTTCACCGCGGACGGTTACCTGCGGCGGGAAGCCCCCACAGATGATGGATACTTACAGGGCAATGAAACAGCTAAGACTCATCTTTGGTGAGATTTGAGCACAATCACTCTCTACATCATTTTTCATCCTGACCCATATGGGGCATAAAAGTGATTCCAACACCCAGCAGAGAAAGAAAAGAAGAGACAGAGAGAAAACACCGATTGTGGCCCAAAAACAGACTCCTGGCTGCGCTCCAATGAGAGCTGGCAGCCGTCCACTAAATCAGAGGCAATGCTCGGGAAGGTGCCTCCATTAAACAGATCTTAAAGGAGTGTTTCATCCATAACACATTTCGGTGCTATTTTGTGCCCAGCTCAGGTGTAATTGATTTCCTCCAACTCATTCCACTGCAGTGTTCGGTTCATTATACAGCGCATTTTGTTGTTCAGGTTTGTGATGGTTTTGGTGATTTTAAATCCTATTAAAGCCTGCGGTGAATCTCACCGAGCCATCTGTCTTGCTACTGTTTCATTGATGTGATATGTGGCCTAACATACTGTACCGGTGAATCACTGTCATGTCTGTGTGACACTCTGCAAAGCACCCAGCCCGTCTCGGAGCAGACCAAGTGAAACTCATCATGATAAATCATTATAAAATGTGCAATTTTAGACCTAAAAAAATGAGCATTTTTTTACACCGTACACCAGTGAAAACTAGCAAAACAAAGAAACAGTTAAAGAAAAGACGCTGCAGCCCTGTAGCTTCAAGGCCACCAACATTATTAATAAATACAGAACAAGACAGCAGTGGCATGGTGTTTACATTAAAACATAAAATAATCACTACTCTGTGCTCTCTTTCATGTTTCTAATGACTCTGACGTACATGCTACAGCTTGAAAAGCCACATATTTCTTTCATGCATATAGATCTCTTGCTTTGGGATGTGTGTTTTTTTTTTCACAAGAGAATATCTATTGTTTCACCTGCATCCATGCAGCAGCAAAGCTGTTCCTACATCACACTCCACCCACACCTACACTGCAGACTGCTTTCCACAGAGGCAATTACACTATAGGTATTCTACAATATATATCACAGTGGTAAGTGACCATTTTTACACATCAGGAGGTTAGTGGGGAATTAAACCCAAGACTGAGCATAGGGGCTAAAAGAGGTCTCTCTAAAAAAAAGTAGGCTGCAGCGATGGTATCTGCAAACAGCAGGTCTGTCAACCACTGTAACTCTCCACATGTTGAAGCAGTGTGCACGGAGCTGTAGTAAAAGCCATATGCTGCGTCTGAAGAATACAAATGAGCACAAAGACAAGAGCAAAACTGTACGGAATGGAATTGCAAATACTGCATGCCCAGCAGCCAGTTTACGTCCTACAGCTACATTAAAATAGTGTTATTTCCATTGCTAAACAGCATATCATCATTAGTTAATGGTACACTACTTAAGATTCTAGCCACTGAATGGTGTTCAGAGCTGATCATAGTTTAAGCAAATGTTAATGCTTTGTTCTGTTTTTAACGGCATTCAGGAAACACTCCAGCAGTCCGACACAGACTTGCTGTTTGCCAGAGAATTAACAACCTGAAGACCTTGTCTTTATTAAAAGTTAAATTACTGACAATAGACATCATTCTAAGCTGTAGTCTGTCCTCTAAAGTAAGCTAAGCATTCAAATAGACATTATGTTAGAGTAAAGAGGAGCCTTACTTTCACTGCATTATCACTAACTAGCCCTACCAGGCAATATGAGACAATACTGAACCTTCATTTTTATTTCTTCTACATGAATCATCAGCTTTTAAGGCTGCTAAGGTTTTGCCTGGAACATGCAGCTTTAGTCTCACCCTTTAAACATGATAAGTGAGAGCATCATCAATTTATTAAAACATTACAATCGCAAATTCTGAAAATGGAGACGCAGACAAATAGTTGACAGAGGGCACCAGTGATCAGTGAAGGATGTTGGCTGACAGCGGGGAGATATCAGAGCTGGCAGGACGAAGGAGCACAGAGAATATGGATGAAACAACAACAAAATGGTTTCGCTTCACCATCACTTTCATTCCCCCTGAGGATGGCTGAGCGAGAATGGCTGAGGAAAAACGTGTCTGCCTACTCCAGGAGACACTGTATCATCTATACAGATGAGCATAAACAAAGCTGAACAAACTGTCTTAAGCACAAGATGCGATTCCTTTGTACTCATCCCTCGATGTGTCTACACAGACACACTCTTCACCATCTCTCTTGCTGCAAAAAGAAAAAAAAAAAGAAAAAGAAAAACGTCCCTCCCTCTTCATCACTGAGCTCATTTCACACAATTTCAGACTGGGCGGGTCAAGACAAGGGGAGCATCAGTTAAATGCCTAATGTGAGGAAACTTATGCATCTATTGATTCTGAGAGTCGAGGACAGAGAATTATTGTTTTGGGGCAGATTGATTATTATATTAGCTATTCATTTCAAAGTACATTTACTTTATAATAGCATTTCTTCAGTCCACCTGAGATTTTTCTGACTTTGTGCTGCTGTGTTTTTGACATTTATGATACACAATGGAAGGCGACTTTTACCTTTAAAGTGACATCTTTTCATAATCTTTTTTCCCAAATGTTAATAAAATGGCATTCCTTCTTGGCTTAAGGATGGCACAATTATCCTTTTTCTGAAATTGGCTTTAAAAAGGTTTTACACCCCCAAAGGATGTAGATAAACTCAGAGAGCAGCATGTAATCCCTCAATCATAATTAAAACATGATAATCACCAAATTTAGAGCAACAGGGATTTACCTGATAGCAATGCTAAGCTTTAGATGCACTGTTTGTTTGGTTACTGGCGAATGGGGTAATCTGACTAACACTCATCTGTCTCACCTGATCGAAGCTGTTTGATCCGACCCTGGCTGCTGCTGGGATCCACAGGCAGGTAGTCTTTGAACCAGGAGATCTCTGGATCAGGGATGCCACTGGCGGCGCACAGCATAGTGGCTGTCTTGGTCCGCTCCACCACCTTCAGCTGGGGCCCCATGTCTATACTGGGGAAGCCAAATGGCAACAGGTCCTCTGCAAGGATGAAGAGAAAGTGCAGCATTTAACATTCGGTGCAAGCATTCAAAAGCTACACTTGCGGCATGGGAGTTCTTTGAGTGAAATAACATGATCAAAGAGACAATATGATAATGTCTATCATGTTCACCATTAGTGAGCGAAACGCTGCTGTTCCTCAAACGACCACTAGAGGCTGGCTCCAAGAGTGAGTCACTCTCCATAGACCGCCATGTTAAAATGTCTAACTTTACAGCAAAAATAAACATGATACCAGGCTGCTACAAAACACTATTTGCTCTCTATCGCTAGTTTCCCCTTTATTGGCAACTGAACAAGGTGTGAATTTTTCTTTAACTCTACAATTTAAATTGTATTAGGGCTTAAATTTGTGCATAATAAAGGGTGTTTCCAGTTTGGGTGCCAGGTAAGCCGTCACAGGACAGTTCTTGGCCCAGACACATTTGCATGGGCTGCTTCAACTCCACCCACATTCCACTTCTTTGCTCATTTTTGGATTAGCTGAGAGTTAGTAGGATTCAGGAACTGAGAAAATAGGGATACCCAGAATCCACAAAAACCCACAACACTGAGCTTCCAAACCGCTGTTCAGGAAATCTATAGGCGAGGGTTCATTCATCTTAATTTACAGTCATTAGTTTAGCATGTAAGCCAGCTGACATTTGCTAATTAAACACAAAGTACAATTCAGGCAAATGGGACATGTAATTGTTTTTGCAGGTATTTAGTCACAAATCAAAGCATTGGATGAATACTGTTTACACTGTTTAAGAAATATGTACTACATTTTGACGAAAATTCATGGCAACAATAATGAACAAATGTGTTTATTTGGTACAGTGGAGCTGCAGTTTTTCTTAAAACAAACGACTGTTTCATCTCCACGCACAGAAACACAGTTGGTCCAGCCATGCATTCAATCCTTACTTTGCTTCATCCGTGCTGAAACATAAGCGTCGCTCACACGCGCAGCGATGTGAGGGCCACTGTTCCCCCCTTAAACATCTGCAGACCCATGAAAAGTGGAGATAGCGGCGAAGACAAGCGGAGCCACTATAGCCTTCATGATCAAAGCCTCATGTTCATTGCTACAGCAAGCTAGTCATTAGGTTATATAGCGGGCGGGCAGAAACACAGCTAGGTTTTTGTGTGTGTTTGACAGGCCATTTCTAGAGGAGTGTAAACATACCGCCCAGTCAGCAGGAGTTACTTAAGTGTCGACACATGCACACGCACACACACACAGACTCACACATGCAGTACACAGTGCCTTCCTGACCGAGAAACACAGGTGTTTCGTGGCAGTGAACTGTGAGCTTTCAAAGGTGTGGCTCTGTGTTATGTGGCGGTAATGATTCCTGTCTAATAACTATGCAGAGAGCCGCTCAGAAACAGCAGCAGCAATTAGAAGCTGGGATCAAGAGGAGGGGCAGGGCACTGGGGGTAATAAGGACTTGTTAGCAGTAATTGTTAAAATGTACCAACGATTAGAGAGGCCGATCTGGGATGTGTCTGCATGCGTCTGAATATGTCTGATTACGTTTGGGGGGCAGTGGATAAGTGTGTGTGTGTGTTGCCCGTGTGTGTACATATTTGCTTCTATAGCTATGTTCTCATTAGCATCTTCACAGATTTCTGCAATAATGTGGAATAATGTTGTGCAGCGCATCCACACACATCCAGGAAAATGAAGGTGTGCACTTGCTTTCTGTTTCACACACACAAACACATTCACATGCACGTTCTCTGGTGAATGGGATTAAGAATCTTGGTGACAACAGTCCAGATGGCCAGACACGTAATCAAGCATCCATCAGCCCTTCTGCTTCCTCCTCTCCTTACCGTTTTAAGCACTCTATCTCTCTCACACATGCACACAGACACCTCCTCCATACCTGGAGCTATAATTATATATTCCACATTCCTACGGCAGTGAGACAATTACCAACATGGCAATTTGCTTGGCGAGTAAATCAAACCCATCAGAAACCTCTTGATTGTCAGGCACAACAAAACGCTCGTCGAAGTTTGCTCGCATCGCGCTCAGCATCACAGCAAAATCTGGAGCCAAACGCAGTCCGAGCTGCAGATCGTGGCCACGTCAACTGTCTGTGTGTTTTTCCTCTGCTCCTCCTCTCCTCCGGGCCCCCTGCTACCTAACCACATGACAGACATATACCATCTGTTCCCGCACTCTCTGCGATGGGGATGAGAGGCTGAGTGGAGATAGGATCTATCGCTCTCTTCCTCTCTTCTCACAGTCAACAGCGTCGCAGAGACCCCCGTCAGATAGGAATGTCAAGCTGTTGCCGATGCCGCGGCTGAGAGGATGAAGGAGAGCGGAAATGCCACCAAAGGTAAGAGAGGTCTCCAAGCATGGAGGAGAGCCCGATGATGACGTTCAGAGTACCGACCGTCTGACTGCAGACAGTGAAGATCAGAGTGGAGGCAGTGGACCACCGTGAACCCCCTCTCTGCCCGCCCGCCCCCATGCCTCCAGCCGCCTCCAACCATTCCCCACTGATCAATGCTAATGATCCACCTGAATGGAGGGCAGTGGTATGACCATTGATGAAACAGGGAGAAAGAGAAAGGAAGGAGAGGAGGGAGATCGATGGGCAGGTCAGGAGGCGAGCTCCCCCGAGGCGAAGAATATGCTAGCCCTACATCTGCTCCCCTCTGCCGCCGCCCCCCCACCGAATCCCACCTCTCTCCTGAGAGGGTTCAGATGGTCTTTTTATCACTCTGCCGGCTACCACTACATGGACTCCCTGGCTGTTAATTAGAGCACGCCACTGCACAGGGCTTAGGGCATCTGCATGTATGTGTGTGTGTGTGTGTTTCTGTCGGGGGTCCGACTCTGTATTCAAGTTAGGTCTTTATTAATGCTGCAAATACACAGTGTGGACGGACCTCAATCTAGATAGATAGATAGATAGATAGATAGATAGATAGATAGATAGATAGATAGATAGATAGATAGATAGATAGATAGATAGATAGATATTAACAGTATAGGAAATTACCTAAATCATTTTCTGCAATGGTTAATACACCAGTATGTAGAAGCTCTTTAATCCAAATATTTTTAATGCTAAAATATAATCATTATTGTTATCCATGCATTTTCAAATTTACTGTTGTCTAAAAAACCTGAAAAAAAAACAGTAAAGCACATTATTATTTCTTGATTAAGATGTTAAATTATAGTTATTTACAGAAAAATTTGTTTTAGTGGTTGAGTGTTGTGCTTGATTAATCTCTGACTTTTCAGAGAAGCCCAGTGAGCCGGCTGAAATTTGGGTACAAAAAGGTGAAGAGATAGATAGATAGATAGATAGATAGATAGATAGATAGATAGATAGATAGATAGATAGATAGATAGATAGATAGATAGATAGATAGATAGATACATACATAGATAGATAGATAGATAGATAGATAGATAGATAGATACTTTATTCATCCCTTTGGAATCCAGTAGCTCACATACAATACATCCAAAAGACAAAATTACATGCGAAATATTGT